TAAGCCCCACCCACCCACCCCATCTCAATTGTAATGATTTTTTTTATTCGTCGTGAGCCAAGGGGGCGAAACTCAACTGCAAAATCTTTATTTCTCAAGGAGAAATTAAAAACATGGTTTTGAGTATCGTGTTGTAAAAAAAAATAGTATGTATATTAAGAAAAAACAAACCAAAGATTAAGCCCCACCCATAACTGCCCTGATCTCAATACATACATATGCAGTAATGATGTTTTCATTCGTTGCCAGACCGAGGGGCGGAGTGTAATTGAAAAATCGATATTTTCCTATACAAATTTACCATTTTAAGCATGTTTTAAGTTTCTTGTCGTAAAAAAATGACTACACATGTTATGAAAAAAGGGAAAAATGTAGCCTTTGCCCATCCGCCCTGTCTTAGTTGTGATGATTTTTATTCGTCGTGAGCCAAGGGGGAGGAGTTTAATTGCAAAAATCTGTATTTGTCTACAAGGAATAAAAACATGTTTTTGAGTATCGTATTGTATATTAAGAAAAAATAAAGCCAAAGATTAGGCCTCACCTATACCCGCCCCGGTCTCAATTCTCAATTGTGATGAATTTTTCATTCGTTGTTAGATGGAGGGGCGGGACTTAATTGCAAGATCCATATTTCTCTACAAGAGTTTACCATTTTAAACTTGTTTCAAGTTTCTAAGAATAAAAAAAAATCAAAATAATTGAGATGGGGTAGGTGGGCGTGCCTTATATTTTGCCCTTTTTTCTTAATATACATTGTATTCTTTGAACACCACGATACGCAAAAACATGTTTTTCATTTCTTGTAAAGAAATAAGTATTTTGCAGTTAAGCTCCGCCCCCTTTGTTCACAGTGAATAAAAAAAAAACATCACAATGGAGACAAGGCGGGTGGGCGGGCTCACATTTTGACTTTTTGTTTTAACATATACAGACTTATTTTCACAACACGAAACTTAAAACATGTTTAAAATGAAAAATTTGTATAAAGAGATATCAATTTTGCAATTAGACTCCGCCCCATAATTGCAAAATCCATATTTCCTTGCAAAAATGTACTATTTTTTAATCATGTTTTAAGTTTATTGTTAAGAAAAGATGGCTATGTATATTAAGAAAAAAAAAAAAGGCAAAATATAAGCCCCACCCACTCACCCTTTTTCAATTCTGATATATTTTTTTATTCGTCGTGAGCGGTATTTTTATTCGTGTGAGGGGTGGAGCTTAATTATTGTGAAATCCTTTTTTTTAGAAATTACCATGTGAATTATGTTCTTAAGTAATCGTGTTACGCAAAGAAAACTAAATAAATGTATTAATTAAAAACGAAAACCAAAAGAGAAGCCCCACCCAGATGTCTCGATCTCAATTGTGATGAATTTTTCATTCGTTGTCAGATCGAGGGGCGGGGCTTAATTGCAAGATCCATATTTCTCTACAAGAGTTTACCATTTTAAACGTGTTTTGAGTTTCTAAAAATTAACAAAATCAACAGGATTGAGACGGGGTAGGTGGGCGGGGCTTATATTTTGCCCTTTTTTCTTAATATACATTGCATTCTTTCAACAACACGATACTCAAAAACATGTTTTTAATGTCTTGTAAAGAAATAAGTATTTTGCAGTTAAGCTCCGCCCCCTTGATTCACGGTGAAAAAAAAAACATCACAATGGAGACAGGGCGGGTGGGCGGGCTCACATTTTGCCTATTTGTTTTAACATATGCAGACTTATTTTCCCAACACGAAACTTAAAACATGTTTAAAATGGATAATTTGTATAAAGAGATATCAATTTTGCAATTAGGCTCCGCTCCCTAATTGCAAAACCCATATTTCCTTGCAAAAATGTACTATTTTGATCAGGTTTTAAGTTTCTTGTTGTGAAAAGATGGCTGTGTATATTAAAAAAAAAGGCAAAATATAAGCCCCACCCACCCGCCCTATCGATTTTTTTTATTTGTCGTGAGCCGAGGGGTGGAGCTTAATTCTAAAATCCTTATTTTTCTAGAGATTACCATGTAAAATATGAAAACCAAAAGAGAAGCCCCACCCATCCGTCTCGATCTCAATCGTGATGAATTTTGTATTCGTTGTCAGACCGAAAGGCGGGGCGAAAATAGATATTTTCCTATACAAATTTACCGTTTTAAGGATGTTTTAAATTTCTTGTTGTGAAAAGATGACTACAGATATTAAGAAAAAAGGGCAAAACATAATCTCAATTGTACTGATTTTTTTTAATTCGTTGGGGGCCAAAGGAGCGGAATTTAATTGCAAAATCATTATTATTTCTCTATAAAAAGTTACCATGTAAGACACGTATTTGAGTATCGTTTTTTTCAAAAAATACTATGTATATTCAGAAAAAATTAAAGCCAATGATTAAGCCCCACCCATACCTGCCCTGATCTAAATAGTAATAAACTTTTTATTTGTTGACAGACCTAGGGGTAGAGCCTAATTGCAAAATCCATATTTTTTTACAAAAATTTGCCATTTGAAACGTGTTTCAACTTTCCAAGAATTAAAAAAATCATGAGATGGAGTGGGTGGGCGGCGCTTATATGTTGTTTTTTTTTTTTTTTCTTAATATACATTATATTCTTTGAATAACACGAAACTCAAAACATGTTTTTAATTTCTTGCAAAGAAATAAGTATTTTGCAGTTAAGTTCCGCCCCCTTAATTCACGGTGAATAAAAAAAATCGTCACAATAGAGACAGGGCGGGTGGGCGGGCTCACATTTTACCTTTTTGTTTAAATATATGCAGACTTATTTTCACAACATGAAACTTAAAACATGTTGAAAATGGAAAATTTGTATAAAGAAATATCAATTTGGCAATTAGGCTCCGCCTCATTATTGCAAAATCCATATTTCCTTGCAAAAATATACTATTTTAATCATATTTTAAGTTTCTTCTTGTGAAAAGATGGCTATGTATATTTAAAAAGCCCCACCCACCCGCCCTATCTCAATTCTGATGGTTTTTTTAATTGTCGTGAGCCGAGGGGTGGAGCTTAATTCTAAAATCCTTATTTTTCTAGAGATTACCATGTGAAATATGAAAACCAAAAGCGAAGCCCCACCCATCCGTCTTGATCTCAATCGTGATGAATTTTTCATTCGTTGTCAGACCGAGAGGCGGAGCGTAATTGCAAAATAGATATTTTCCTATACAAATTTACCATTTTAAGCATATTTTAAGTTTCTTGTTGTGAAAAGATGACTATACATGTTAAGTAAAAAGGGCAAAATGTAAACCCCGCCTACCCGCCCTATCTCAATTGTGATGATTTTTGTATTCGTCGTGAGCCAAGGGGGAGGAAGTTAACTGCAAAATCCTTATTTCTCTACAAGACATAAAAAACATACTACGTATATGTATTACAAAAAAAAAGGCAAAATATAAACGTCAGCGAAAAGTTTATAAATGGATCTTTAGTGCCCAAAATTTCAGGTATGTCATCATAAAATTTTAAATATGTTGCCAACCTGACAAAAACAATCACAAACATTAATAGGCACTATTATTTCAACTCTAACTTTTTCAATTTTTGAAGTTTGACGTATTTTAATTTATCACACTCGGAATGTTGGACAGGAATTGGTGTTAGGAATTATCTGATACATTCGCATGTGAAATATTCAGAGCTAGAAACAGGATATGGTCATTTTTCGAGCCGGGAAGGTAATTCTCCTGGGAAATACATTGCGCCTAAATTACAGGGTGAAATGTGTTCGACTCTGATATAATTTACGAATAAAAAAGACAATTTTCCGGTGGACTAAAATAGCTTCTCGGTACATAAATAACACAAATGAATAAATTACAATATATTGATGAGTGAGCGGACGATTGGATTTGGAATGTTGTTTTAAAATTAGAAAAATAATCGACAACGCAGGTAAAAATTATGTAACATTTGAAAAGATGCACAGTATTAATTTATACAGACAGTGTTAACAAATGATCGTTACTCAATTTATATATATCTTACAACGTTAGTTATTGATCCGAGTGTTGTTAACAATGACTTAGTCTTTAAATAGATGTGCTTTTGTTAAACCTTAAAACCTGGATATTCAAAGAACGTCTTCCTTGTTGAAACCATAACCAATTTTGTCGTGTGACGTCACAGGGGATGAAACATCCACTAATTTCAATATACTAAAATCAACTTATTATTATTGTTCACAGGAATAGAAATTTTTGTTTCATTTTATTTTAATTTTAATTATTTTTGTATTATTTACTTTTAAAGGACGTTTAATAACAGGTCTGTTGTAAATTTCTGGCTTGGAATTTTTATATTACTTACTTAAGTTTATATGTTTGTCGTGCCACCTGTATGTCAGAAGAAAAAGATGGCTAACGATTATGTTTTATTTATTAGTATTTTGTATTGTTGGTAGTCGTTCGAGTTGTCGCCACGTGCCGCTGCGATCAATAAATGAAACATCTCCATTCTTCCCATGATTCTTCCTTTATTCTCGTGCGATTCAAGTTATAATAAAAGTCAAAATGTGCATCACCGCACAATTATCCCCCCCAAAAATTTGATGACGTCATTTTAAAAATTCTCGGAAATGCGACTTTTAAAATGACTGTTTCACTTAGTTATGTTGTAAAGGCGATTTTTATCTCAATACCTAATTTCCACTGTTTTTCATAATTTTATGGTAGTATTCCTGTTGGTTTTTATTTATCAATAATTATTATGAAATTGTCCTTGGAGTCTCGGACAACTAGCACGTGCTAAACGGTATCAAAAATCATCCAAAAAAACTAAAATCCCCAAGTTTAAATTACAAAAACTGTAAAACAATCAAGATCAACCTGTAATCAGGGTTAAAGGAGTGCAATTATATGCATTTAGTTAAACGATGATTTAAGTTTATACTTTATTGCAAAACTAGCAACAAAATTATTCATTTTGTGATCTCGTTTCAAATTCCGCGCCCATCGTCGTCTGTCATTCTCGAATCAGCGCCCTCCGCAGCGCCCCCTGCAGCCTCAAATAAAAACAGTGAACGTTGAGACATCAAAGGTAATCTTTGTGGCGTTTGACAACGAATTTAAATTTTGTAAGTTATTTGCGATATGTAAAAAGCGGCGCCCCATCCCGCCAGCCCCCATTTCATCAAATAATCCCACTAGGTGTGTGACAGTAACTGTATTAACAAAAAAACAAAGACGACGGTATCGGCGACTTCAACCTCAACCGGACTAAGGTCTACAATGGCAGCCAGCGACTCAGCGGGCGACGATTCCCTGTACCCCATCGCGGTCCTGATCGACGAGCTCAAAAACGAAGACGTCCAGGTAAGCACACGCCTCCGGATGCCGGAAAGTGACGTCATTTTCCGTAGCTGCGGCTCAACTCCATCAAGAAGCTGTCAACAATAGCGCTGGCGCTGGGGGTGGAACGCACCCGCTCGGAGCTCATCCCCTTCCTCACGGAGACGATCTACGACGAGGATGAGGTGCTGCTGGCGCTCGCGGAGCAGCTGGGCAACTTCATTACGCTGGTCGGCGGGCCCGAGTACGCCTACTGCCTGCTGCCCCCGCTGGAGAGCCTCGCGACGGTGGAGGAGACGGTGGTGAGGGACAAGGCGGTGGAGAGTCTGCGGGCGGTGGCGCAGCAACACAGTCCGGCTGATCTGGAGAACCACTTCGTGCCGCTGGTGCAGAGACTGTCGGCGGGGGATTGGTTCACTTCGAGGACGTCGGCGTGTGGGCTGTTTTCGGTGGGTTTTTATGAGATTTTTTATTGTTTCCGTTAAAATGCATGCTAGATGTGGGGCAAAATGACTCCGTTATATTATTATTATTATGGAAATTTTTTATAAATTTAAGAATCAGAAATAAAAATCACGCGATCAGCTTTCTAGTGGTCAGTGTAATTGGGGTTCGGTTCGTTCAAAAACCTGAACCACACTACTAAAATTACCATTCGTTCACTCTGTCTGTTGTCTTGGTGTTTATGGTTTTCTGGGCATAAATGCGAATCTTTCCGCTTTCCACACTAAGGTTTTTATTGGTTGTCTTGCTCAAACATGAGTTGTACAGTGTAAAAGTGGCGCAGCAAACTTCAGTTTTGACCACCCACATTTCACGTGACCTCACACTTTTACGCTTGAATGTTGGTAGTACTTTATTCGTTTTTTTTTTTTTATTAAATTATATTCAAAATTAGAAAAAAAAAAAAAAAACTCGTGTGTTGTCGCAGCGGTTAAGTTTTTCTTGCGCGGTTCTCACAAGTGCGGACAATGTGAAATGTATTTAAAGCAGATAACCAACGGGAAAAAATGCATTCTCAGTTTCTCAATGCATGCTTAACTTTAACTGTTTATGTTTATACTTCGAAAGAATTCAACTATTAGCACGTTTAGCGGCGGCATTTGTGTTAAAAGAAAATGAAATGTATGATTTTCCTATCTTTAAGTGATTCATTATCTAAAATTTGGTTAGAATGAGTGGGAAAATACGATAAAAGCATATAATCAACGGGAAAAAATTTAACAAATGTTTCTAAATATTAATTAAGGGAATATAATATATAAAAATTATTCTTTTTTTTAGCAATAACCTTAAAATGCAAAATTTCACAGAATTCAGTATTGCAATTTCAAAGTCAAATTGTAAATGTGATTATAAAATTTTTATTGTCTTCCAAACGGATTCATAAATTACATATTCAGGTGTATGTTATTTATGGAATTCTAGCAACATTTACTAATGCAAATTTTGAAGATGATTGGTGGGGTGATCAGACAAATTTTTGTTAGCGTTTTGCTATCTAACCACATAAAATTTGACAACAATTGGTTCGGTAGTTTCGGATTATATGTATGATTATAGTATTATATGTCTAATAAAAGTCGACAGAGACGGCAGACAGACTGACGGAAATGGGAGACCTATTTCTTTATACTCTAGGGGTTATAAAACGTCGAGAAAATATAAAAGTAGCCGCTCGTCAGATGGATCCTCTTACAGTACTTCCTATTTACGCGTGGGAAGTAAAAATTTATTTTATTATTATTATTTAAGGGGGTTGTAGAAAAGTGGAAGATTTAATTTGATTACTACAAAAATTTACCATTTTAGACATGTTTTAAGTTTATTGTTGTCGAAATAAGTCTACACATATAAAAAAAGGCAAAATGTAGCCCCGCCCACCCGCCCTATCTCAATTGTGATGATTTTTTTTATTCGTCGTGAGCCAAGAAGGCGGAGCTTAACTGCAAAATTCTTATTATTTCTCTACAAGAAATTACTACGTAAGACATGTTTTTGACTATCGTGTGATTTAAAGAAGCCCATGTATATTAAGAAAAAATTAAAGCCAAAGATGAGGCTCCACCCATACCTGCCCTGATCTAAATAGTAATGAAGTTTTCATTCATTGTCAGACCTAGGAGCGGAGCCTAATTGTTGTTTCCTTACAAAAATTTACAATTTTAAACGTGTTGTAAGTTTCTAAGAATTAAAAAAATCATCACAATTAGATGGGGTGGCGCCCATTGCCATTTTTTCGTAATATACATAGTATTCTTTGAACACCACAATACTAAAAACATGTTTTTAATATCTTGTAAAGAAGCAAGTATTTTGCAGTTAAGCTCCGCCCTCTTGGTTCACAGCGAATAAAAAAAAGATCATCACAATTAAGATAGGGTGGGTGGGCGGGCTCACATTTTCGGCGGAGCTTAACTGAAAAATCATTATTTCTCTACGAGAAATTAAAAACAAGTGTTTGAGTATATTGTTGTTCAAAAAATATTGTGTATATTAAGAAAAAAACAAAGACAAAGATTAGGCCCCACCTTTACCCTCCTCGATCTCAGTCTCAATTGTGATGAATTTTTCATTCGTTGCCAGATCAAGGGGCGGGGCTTAATTGCAAGATCCATGTTTGTATACAAACCAGAAATTAAAGAAACGAAAAATTGAAAAGTCGAAAAAATAAACTTATTTTAGATTTTTCAAAGTTTTCATTTTGTACTTTTTCGTTTTTTCATTTTTGACTTTTCAATTTTACAATTTTGCAATTTTTCCATTTTTCCATTTTTTTTATTCGAAAAGTTTGAAAATCGAAAAATCCAAAAACTGAAAGATTCGAAACCTAAAACGTGCAAAATGGAAAAACCGAAAAATTGAAGAAATAAATTAAATAATAAACAGAAAAGAAGAATTGCAAATCGACAAATTGAGGAAATGAAAAACTGAAAAATTCAAAATTGAAAACTCGTGAAACAGTAAAATCGTAAAATAAAAAAATGACAAATTTTAAAAATCATGATTATTACACATTTAAAATGAAAACTAGAAAAATTGAAAAAAATTAACGAGGAAAAACTAATTTTTGGGTTTTTCAATGTTTTCATTTTGTACTTTTTCGTTTTTCATTTTTGATTTTTCAATTTTACAATTTGTTAATTGTTTTGTTCGAAAAGTTGGAAAAACGACAAACTAAAATATCGGAAAAAATAAAATAAACGAAAAAGTTTTAAAATCCTGTCATTGAAAAATGTAAAAATTGTAAGTTCGTAACATTAAAAAGTGACAGATTTTAAACATTATAATTATTACATATTTAAAATGAAAACTAGAAAAACTGCAAACCAAAAATTAAAGAAACGAAAAATTGAAAAAACGAACTTTTAGACTTTTCGAAGTTTTCATTTTGTACTTTTTTGTTTTCTCACTTTTAATTTTTCAGTTTCATAATTTTGCAATTTTTCCATTTTTTTGACTCGAAAAGTTGGAAAATCGACAAACTAAAACATCGGAAAAATGAAAAACTGAAAAAATCGAAATCTAAAACGTGGAAAATTGAATAAATGGAAAGTTTTAAAATCTAATAATTTGGAAAAATTTTAAAATCCTAACATGGAAAAACCGAAAAGTTGAAAAAATAAAGAAAAAACGAAAAATTGCAAATCGAAAAATTGAAGAAATGAAAAACTGAAAAATTAACATGTTTTAAGTTTCTTGTTCTGAAAAGACGACTACGTATATTAAGAAAAAAAGGCAAAACATAAGCCACGGCCACACACCCTGTCTCGATTGTGATGATTTTTTTTTATTATTATCTAGAGCCAATTTAAGTTTCTTGTTCTTGTTAAATTTATTATTTTTTTACAAGAAATTACCATGTAAGACATTTTTTTAGTGTCGTGTATCAAAGAATACTATGTATATTTAGGAAAAATTAAAGCCAAAGATTAAGCCCCACCCATACCTAGTCTGATCGAAATAGTAATGAAGTTTTCATCCATTGGCAGACCTAGGGGCGGAGCCTAATTCCAAAGTCTATATTTCCTTACAAAAGTGTACAATTTTAAACGTTTTTTATGTTTCTAACAATAAAAAAAATCATCACAATTGAGTTGGGGTGGGTGGGCGAGGTTTATATTTCGCCATTTTTTCTTAATATACGTAGTATTCTTTGAACACCACGATACTAAAAACATGTTTTTAATTTTGTGTAAAGAAATAAGTATTTTTGTCCAATTTTTCTTAATATACGAAGTCTTCTTTTTCCAACAAGAAACCGAAAACATGTTTAGTTATTCCGTTGCTGAAAGAAAACTCTATATATTAAAAAAAAAAAGAAAATTAAGCCCCACCCACCCGCCCCAATCTCAATTGTGATGAATTTCATATAGTAATTTTTTGTAGACAAACGAGGATTTTGTAACCAGACTCCGCCCTTCAGCTCACAATGAATAAAACATTCATCACAATCGAGAACGGGTGGGTGGGCGGGGCTTATATTTTGTCCAATTTTTCTTAATATGCGAAGTCTTCTTTTTCCAACAAGAAACCGAAAACATGTTTAGCTATTCCGTTGTTGAAAGAAAACTCTATATATTAAAAAAAAAACGAACGTTAAGCCCCACCCACCCGCCCCAATCTCAATTGTGATGATTTTTTTTATTGTTAGAAACATAAAACACGTTTAAAATTGTACACTTTTGTAAGGAACTATGGACTTTGGAATTAGACTCCGCCCCTAGGTCTGCCAATGGATGAAAACTTCATTACTATTTCGATCAGGCTAGGTATGGGTGGGGCTTAATCTTTGGCTTTAATTTTCCTTAATATACATAGTATCTTTTCTTAGAAGAGTAGGTCATTTACCAAAATGAGTCTTATTTTTTGGCCCACCCACCCTTTATTTTCTTAGAAGACCCGTCATCTGCCAAAATCAGTCTTATCTTGACAAGTACTAGCCCCGCCCACCCACCCACCCTTATTTTCTTAGAGGGTATGTCATTTGCAAAAATCAGACTCATACTTGACAAAGAAAAGTTGATTTTGGCAGATGACCTATTCTAAGAAAATAAAGGGTGGGTGGGCAGGGCTAATACTTTTTCTTAGAAGAGTAGGTCATTTGTCCGGCCCTCCCGGGCTTTGTTTTCTTAGAGAGTAGATCATTAGCCAAAATCGATTTTATCGTAGCGAGTACTACTAGATTATTGGGTCACGACGAATAAAAAAAAGGATCATTGCAATTGAGATAGGGCGGGTGGGCGGGCTCCCATTTTGCCTTGTTGTTTTAATATGTGTAGACTTCTTTTCATAGCATGAAACATTTAAAATTATGTTTTTTTGTTGTGAAGAGAAGACTACACATTGTAAGAAAAAACGGACAAAATGTGAGGACTTTTAGTTATAATACGTAATCTGTTTCTGAGACGAACAGCAATAAATCCCAGCCTACTTCAAGGGATTTTCCTTCAAATTTGCAGCACTACACACTTTGAATTAATTACTCATAACAAAAACGATATTAATCTCTAATAGAGATGTACCGACTACAGTCGGCCGACTGTTTATAAATGCAACAGACAGTGGGTTTTTTTTTTATTTCTCTGACTACCTTAAAAACTTGTTTTATTTTAATAAAAGGAATAACTGAAGTTTCTTTTTTTTCCAAAAAATGTGTTAAATTTTTTTGGATAATTTTAACATTTAATTTTTTGTAGTAACTCAGCACAAAAATAAAGAATAACACAATTTAGGGCAGTTTATACAATACTTAACCAATTTTAACCACTTTTTTGGAAAATTTTTGGAAATTTTGAATTCGCTTTGCGTGTTTATTGGACCATATATCGTGACGGCGATTTCAGAATCGTAACTAGCGGAAAATTATCTACACTTTGACACCAATTTTCGGTCGATTAAACTAATTTTAACCGGTTTTGACAAAGCCGACTAGTCGGCCGACTGTAGTCGGTACATCTCTAATCTCTAAGTTTGAGTTTTTCTTTAATACGACCCCTTATAAATCCAATAGAAATCGCAACCAATGCACAAACACGCGAATCATAGTCAAAATTCACAATGGAGTTTTCAAATAAACGTACTCGGTTTTGAAGTTTATTGTAGCATTAAGGCACATAATTTGAGAGAATCGGCTAGTTAAGAAAAAAAAAATTTTTTTTTTAAGTAACCTTGAAGGTTAACATTATTTTTAGAGTGGAGACTATTATTTTTTGTTGTTATCCTGAAAATTCAAATTTGTAAAAACGTAGTTGTTTGGGGTGGTTATAAAGTTGTAAAACATTGTATATCAATTGGTTGGAAAATTTCCGCGTCTTATATCATCCATCTGAAAATAACATAAATAAAAGTTGCCTCCCTTTTGTTGTAAGCACGTTTTCACACTCAAGAAATTTAGGCTATATTTAACATTTGCGACGGCCGACGAGTAGACATTGTTGGCTACTAAGAATTGGGGTTGCATTCCTTTCTAATTCAGGTAACACAGGTAGCTAAATTTTAGTACCCTCCTGAAAAAGCCGGTATTGAATATGCACGAAATTTACAAAATATAACCCGTTACTCAAACCCAAATAAATCATCCTAATCAGCTATGACTCTTGTAAATGATCAATCATCACAACGAAGCGGCAAATTTCACTAAATTTATTCATGAAACTATAGAATTCACTGTGGTTGATTTACCAACAGTTTTCGGAAATTCATTATAAAGCAGAATCCAGGACTTGCGAATCCGCCGATAAACAGATTTCCACGTTTTAAGAACAAGTTAATTTTTTTGTAATTACACCAAATCCACGACGAATGAAATTATTTTCGCGTGTTTGAAATATGTTTGTATGGTCAAGCTAAACGTACAATTTAGGAAATGAATCCATAATATGCGTGTATAATGTAATGTGTCAAGGGGTCAATATACCTATTTTGTTAATAGTCCAAATAACCCAGTTTATGCTTAATTTAAAACACTTTAATTTTAATAACGATGTAGGGGAAAAGATATTGTATTTTTGACGAAGAACCTTTACAGGTCTGTTATCCAAGAATCTCAACTCAAATGAAAGCCGATCTGAGGTCCCACTTTCGCGCGCTGTGTCAGGATGATACCCCCATGGTAAGAAGAGCCGCAGCCACGAAATTAGGCGAACTAGCGCAAGTCGTGGAATTGGAATATCTGAAAACCGATTTGATCCCCATGTTTTTGAGCTTGACACAGGACGAACAGGATTCGGTCAGATTGTTAGCCGTGGAAGCGTGCGTGAATTTCGCCTCGCTTTTCCCACAGGAGGACATCGAAATGTTCGTCATGCCCACGGTTCGGAATTGCACTGGTAGGTAGTTATTTTTTTCTGTGGAAGAACCGGTACTTCTGATCGTGATTTAAAATTATTTTTTGTTGTAAAACACAATGAATCATCTGATTATTGTTGAGTCATTATTTTGAAAGATATTTATTTGATAAGAAAAATGACGTAAATGTAATTATTGCTTTGGTTTTATTATACTTAAGTATATACGAAAGTGTACTTAAGTTAATTATCTTGGGTTGTTCAAGTGGCAGGAGATATCGTTAGCAACAATAACTTTTACTAAAGTAAATTATGTATCTACAACTCCAAAAAAAAAAATCAAAATCACCCCGCATTTCCCCCAGGCGACACCTCCTGGAGGGTCCGCTACATGGTCGCCGACAAATTCACCGACCTCCAGAAAGCCGTCGGTCCCGAAATCACCCGCACCGACCTCGTCCCCGCCTTCCAGAACCTCCTCAAAGACACGGAAGCCGAAGTCCGTGCCGCCGCCGCCAACAAAGTGAAGGATTTCTGTCAGAACCTGGACAAAGCCCACCAGGAAAGCATAATAATGAACAACATCCTCCCGTGCGTGAAAGAGCTCGTCGCCGACCCCAACCAGCACGTCAAGTCTGCGCTGGCCTCCGTGATCATGGGTCTCAGCCCCATCCTCGGCCGCCACAACACCATCGAACACCTCCTCCCGCTTTTCCTCACCCAACTCAAGGACGAATGCCCCGAAGTCAGGCTGAACATAATCTCGAACCTCGACTGCGTCAACGAAGTCATCGGCATCCAGCAGCTGTCGCAGTCGCTGCTGCCGGCCATCGTCGAGCTGGCCGAGGACTCCAAGTGGAGGGTGCGTTCGGCGATCATAGAGTACATGCCGCTGCTGGCGGGCCAGTTGGGTCGCGAGTTCTTCGACGAGAAGCTGAACGCGCTGTGTATGACCTGGTTGATGGACCACGTTTTCGCCATAAGGGAGGCGGCCACTTTGAATCTGAGGAAGCTGGTGGACCAGTTCGGGGCAGAGTGGGCGGAGACTACGATTATACCGAAGGTTTTGGCGATGTCACGCGACCAGAATTACCTCTACAGGATGACTTGTTTGTTTTGTATTAATGTTTTGGCGGAGGCCTGTGGGAGTGACATTACGACGAGGCTGCTTCTGCCTACCGTTTTAAATATGGCGAATGATAAAGTGGCGAATGTTAGGTTTAACGTGGCGAAGACGCTGCAGAAGGTGGCGCCACAGCTGGATCAGGCGGTCATACAGCCCCAGGTCAAACCAGTGCTTGATAAACTCACCATAGATAATGATATTGATGTTAAGTATTCGGCGTCGGAGGCCATTGCTGGTATTGCTGGTAAGTTGTTTTTGGTGATTTTTTAAATTTCTGCTCTAGTTACCCCTGATACGTTCTTGCATATATTGTGAACTTTTGATGTTGATATAAAAAAATATTTATTAAATTTAATTCCAGTAAGTCAAAAATCTGAGTAAACTTATACAAGATGTTTACATCGAGGTGTAAGGATGAAACCTTTTTATATTTTTCTTTTTTCAGCACTAGGTTGAAGAGGAGCGTCGTTGTACGAGCTGATGTAAGTGAAAGAAAATATACATATTAATTATAATAAATTAATCTCGTAGATTGTAATATTATATATTTGTTGTGCTCCATATGATTTAAAAAGAATGTGTAATATAGCGTCTCTAGAAAAATAGTATGAACAGTTCGGTAATTGTCATTTTATTTTACTTTCCTTTTTATACTTAGTTTTGTTTTGTATAATAAGTAATAGATACATCATGATTCGTCACAGCGACTTCACTTTTAATTTTAGTATTATGAAGCATCCACGGATTCGTCTCGAATTTAGTTTTATCAGTCTTTTGTATTAATCCTGCAATTTAATGAAAAATAAACAATTTCTTAAACAAAAATACTTTTGTTCGAATGGAGCACAAAAACCTTAGTTGGAAGTTTCTTCAGCTTATGTATACACACTTATTTACAATATATGTATATATAAATAAATCTATACTCGTTGCTAGTTGTCATGACTGTCGATCAACCGATTCTCTTCGTCGTTTGTCGGACTTGTACTTTTTCTACGTCGTTCGGTAGAGTTAGGATACTACAAATCAAAATAAAGTTTCGCTTGTGATTGGTTCTATCATTACCATTATGTGCATTAGCGACTTTCCTCCACCGTACCCGCAATCCCCCCTACCAAAAATCCAGCCTGGGGCCACTCCGTCTGCGTCGTTCAAAATCGCGTCGTTGCGACACGACGTGTACAATAACCGGACCACGATAAAAATAAGCAACTGTACAATACAGTTGACTACTACTAGTAAAATAAACCCCGTCAAGGACCATCGAATGGGTGGTTTAAGTTTGTTTATACACCCCTCAGTGTTCAACGAATCCAAAGTCAGGGAGTGTTGATCCGCCCAAACACTATGTGCCCCAGTTTGTTGCAACGGGTCGTGCAGACACTGCATAGGAAAACCAAGTCGACAGCAACTCCACGGCGTTACCGGATACAACGAAGAACCATTTTCGCGGTACCTAAAACCACTATCTGATGACCACATTTTCAAAATTAGGGTTTTATTCACTGTTTAACTGATTCAGATTTTACATTGATTTGGTATTTATCCAACCAGGGTACTTCATACCATTCTTTGTAGCTTTTGGCGCCGCAACACTGCATATCGTACTGAATTTTGTCGATGCTTATCTTCCAATTCGAGTCTTTCAAGTACTTGCTAATACCGGTGTAGAACGAGTGATCCATGGCGCGTATTATGTGTTTGTAAATTTTCCGCGTGTGCCTCGCCAAGATTATCAGGTACGTAATCACGTAGAAAGATATGCAGATCCAGGCGAAGACCAAACTTCGGGTACTTTTTCTGCAAAGAAACGTTAAACTTTGTTGAGTTGGTGGAGGTCGTACTTGGAGGCTTGGTTTAGGCACTTCAGTCGGATTTTTAAACCGAACAACCAACAGCAGATGTTGTTGACGCCGCAAATAGCAACAACTGCAAATACGTAACTAAGTTCTGCACGTTCTGAAAATAGAATCGGTGCCACTGAAATGCAGACATAGATCGATAAACTTAACATAGTTACACCCGTTAGTACTTGGATCAAGTTTAAAATTAAGAATATTATACTTAAGAAGGATCGTTGACTTTTCGATAGTTTGAATACCCCGACGGCCATAACGGGGCGACGTGACGTTGACAAGACATGACAGACGGTGAAACGCAGTCATTTTTGCAACGTTGTCAAAACAAAATTTGAATTAGGAATTTTCGCGCCAAATCGCTAGTGTTAGGAACTAAAACTGACGCGTGTAAAGCCGCCTTTAGTTTGACTCGACGGTGTAAATGCCCCTTAATCGATTTAATTATTTGTAATTATAACAAAAATGTTATTGTTAAAAGACGCACTAAACCACTGCATGTGGTTGATGCGTATAATCTAAATGAATTTCGTATTTGCTGTGATAAACAAAATGATTCACATTTTTAGTCAAACATAACCTCACTTTTCGAATATGGCATCCACTTTAAACATTTTTGTTAAAAATGCCCTGAAAAGTCATGTAATTACCCAACAAGTGCGTTTTTATCCGCGATGGGGGCACCGAACACCGATAAAAGTCTACACACCCGAAGAGTTTCAAGAAATGGAAAACAAGCAACATAACCCCCCTGAAAAAAAAATCTTTGAAAAATATGGGGCGTTCAAACCGGCTTGGGAGAGGTCTAAAAATGTGACTGAAGACTCCCCTGACGGTCTAAAATATAAATTTAAAACGAAAAAGTCCGATAAACCGTTGATTGCAACCCATCAAAAAAGTAAGGTTAGCACAACCACCGATATGCTTGAGACCATTATAGATAAAGATGGGAACTTTATTTATACAAAAATGAAAAACAACGATCAACGAGTGGGGTAAGAAGTAAGAAGCGTTTTTCGTATTGTCGCAATAAAAAAATTAAATTTGTAGTAAAATTTTGACTGAAGTGAAATCAAAAAAGGACACAGATAAAAAGGATTTGGTTCTCTTGGAAGGTAAGCGTCTTATTAAAGACGCTCTGCAGTCGGGCTGCCACTTAAAGTATATTTTATTTAGCCGCAAAGACGAAGTTGATTATTTGAGGCCCTTTTTACCAAAAGCGGGGGCTTTGTTGTATAAAATGCCCTACAAAGAGATGCAAATGTGGTCAGATCTTACCACGACCCCAGGAATCATGGGTACGTTGGTGTTTTTGTAATTTATAAACCTAACACGAAGTTTCAGCTATTTTTAAACTGCCAAGTGTGGAGGATTTTACCCCAAAACACGCGCTTCCAATTACGGTAATTTGTGACAACATTCGAGAACCAGGAAATTTAGGGACCATTTTAAGAATTTGTGCCGCTGTTGGATGCGAGCGGGTTATTTTAACTAAAGGTTGCGCAAATCTATGGGACAGTAAAGTGTTGAGGAGCTCAGTAGGCGCTCATTTTAAATTGCGACTTAACAAAAGTATGGACTGGGACTCAATTGAGGAGATAGTGGGCAAAGAAGCGAATTTTTTCATAGCTGATAATAAATTGGTCTGTGGTGACAATATTGAGGATTTAGCCACAGTCCTGGAAAAAATTCCTCTTTTACCTTACTACAGCGTCGATTTTCGCACCTCTCCCCAGATAGTTGTAATAGTAGGGGGCGAAACTCTCGGCGTCAGTAAAAATTCGTATGAACTAGCCCTTAAGACAAACGGCGCCCGCCTTAACATACCCTTAAGTAATGACATTGATAGTTTAAATGTAGGAGCCGCCTTAGGAATAATAGCGTTTGAAATTAAGAAACAACTCACGCAAATTGTGAATAAATAGTTTATTCTTAGGTAGTTTACAGTGATTTCTTTCCACATTTGGGTTTTTTCAAAACTAGGGGTTCCAAAACGATGTACGTTTTTCTCCTGATTAGCAATTTCTCGGTCTCTAGTGACTTGGAAGTTTCTTTTGGAGGTAGTTTTCTGAAAAATGGAGTCATTGATGCGTTTTGAAATGTAAATCTCACCTTTTTCGCTGCGGGTAGGTCGCATGTTTTTTCCCTATGTCCACAGCCCGGCTGTCAGTTTTGAAATTTTGGAAACCCGTATTTTTGCTGCCAATTGGTGGAATGCGAGAGTACGGAGTAAAAACATCTCTGTTTCCACCGTTCCAAGACATTTAACCCAAATATCTGGCCGGCCTCATTTCTCTGTTTAAACTGTCCCTGATTCACTTCAAGGGTACTTAAATAAAATATTATGCGCGATAAAGGACGACAGATCACTCGAAATCAATATCTATATTTACAATCGTTATTGATTTTGTAATTATCAGAAATCCGCCGCTAATAATTAATAGTGCGAAACCGTTTTTAAATTTAAATTATTTAAATCGTCGACGAAATTTGAACCTAGCGCCGGATGCATCTCTGTCTGTCACTTGCCACTTGTGTTAACCTATCCTTGTCAACGCGCCGCGGAATAGTTGGCACCACTGTCCACGCAGCTGTCTATCGACAACAACTGTCATTTTAATTCCAATCAAGTTTTTGCTTATTTCTGGTAAATAATCATACAATTACGTTAATTATTTATGAAATCGTCGGAATTTGCGCGGTTGCAGTACGAAGAAAACAAGACCTGTTGTCCCTGGGTAAAGTAACCTCAAAGTGACTTTTTATTGACATTTAAAAAAAAAAGCGTACATATTTGATTGAGACATGTCTCAACAGGTCACAAATCCCTATTTACCCATTTCGCACTGCACTATCACGCAAATCGTGTTTACTTTACTAAGTATAATAAAAAATAATCTTGTAGCATTATTACAATGAGTGATCAAGAGCTGGAAGCTGCTCAGGAAATGAGCCCCCACGACGTCGAGAAGATCGAAGAGGCCAAACTCAAAGCCAAGTACGCCAACACGGCCACGGGCCCCAACGCCGGGCGCTTGATGGGGGGCCATTCCGCGTTTTTGCAGAAGCGTCTAGCCAAAGGTCAGAAATATTTCGATTCCGGGGACTATCAGATGGCGAAGCAGAAACTCGGGGGCGTGAACAAAGCACCTTTGAAGACGCCGTGTTCGGTGCCCGGGTTTGCCACGGGCGACGCCATCCCCACACCCGAAACTGTACCAGCTAGAAAGACTTCGATCATACAACCATCAAAGTTCACGTCGAATGTGAGCTAGTTATTAGGGACGTTTTTGATAATGTTAGATGTAGGTTTTGTAGTTTGTTGGTTCCTTACTAATTTATTTGTTTAATTGATACTAAGCCATAACGTTTAACCTGAAGTGTAACTAAATATACTTTTTTAATTATTTTTTCAATAAATTTGCTTGTGGAGGGGGGAGGTTAAGTTGACCCAACTTTGAGATGCTTGTTAAGTTGGTGACGCCCAGTGTCATAGTTGAGTAAGTAAAATAATAAAGTTTTGAGAATATTAATTAGTTTTGTGTTTTATTATATTTAATCGCCAACACAAGATTTATTACTTTTGTATTTATTTTATATTGACGCGATGTGTCACGTGAGTACTGTCATTGCATATTGCGCATTGTTTTAGTAATATCAACATGTTATTATCCCCACGGCACCCAAAATGTCAACAAACTGTACTGAGTCAGAGTTGGAAAAATGACAACTTTATGCGAGTTATGGCAACACAAATATGACACTTAAGACAGTAATGTGTTTCATTAATAAAATGCGTGACATTATTTTATCACTAATAAAACGAATATTACTTTTGACTGATGCATAAAAAATTAAGGTTCTAATTTTTCCAGGAATAACTAATATTATGAACAAGATTTTTTCCAAAAAACATGAAAAAGTATGGGACTGTTACTTTTAAAGTGTGACAGAATCTTTAGAGCCTTTTTTGTTTCGTATGTGAAAGAACTTTAAAAAAATCCAAGGGATTCCTTTGTTAAATATATAAATAAAAAATAACAATCTGAAGCAATTTTCGCACAAGATCTTCAAATAACGGCGAAAAACGGTAAAATAATTTAATTATTTAGTCTTATCTTGGCAAATACTAAGCCCGCCCACCCGCCCGTCATTTTCTTATAAGGTACGTTATTCGCCAAAATCAGTCTCCTCTTAGTAAGTACTATCCCCGACCAGCCACCCTCCCTTTTCTTAGAGGGTATGTCATTTGCCAAAATCAGTCTTATCTTAGCAAGTACCAGTCCGCCCACCTGCCATCCATTGTCTTAGAGTGTATGTCATTTGCCAGTATCAATCTTATTTTAGCACTTGCTCAGATAAGACTGATTTTGGCAAACGTTATACCCTCTAAGAAAAGGGAGGGTGGGCGGGGCTAGCACTTTTAAACTTGAAAAAACTTGTTAAATTTAAAACGTGTTAAATTGTATATTTCCATAGTAACGAGTTAAATCTCATTGGATATTTATTTTTTAACAACTCAGTCATTAATTTTTCTGAGACACCCTGTGTGAGCAAATTAAAAAATATTAACTGTATATTAAAAATAAATTACAAGTATAGACTCATCATATTTTGCACATTTAAGATAGGGTATATTCAGCAATATTTTGAAGTGACGTCATAAATTTTTTAGGGGGATGAGCAAATACATTTTCATCAAAAATTTACCATGCTTATGATAACTTTAAAACATCTCCAAGATTTCAAAGGATTTGGTTTTGCAGGTCCTGATTAAATCAATAAAATAAATTCACGCATTCATTAATTTTTTTGAGTCATCCTGTTTAAGCTAATTTAGAAGATATGAATGCAGTGATAAATCACACACTGATCATATTTTGTGCATTTTAGATAGGATTTATCCGGCAAAATGTTGAGATGACGTCATCAATTTTTTGTAAGGTATAAGCAAATATCTTTTGATTACATTTTTTTTTTAGATTTAGTTTTGCTCTAAAACCTTCTAGAAAATCCCTATATTGATCGTCTACAATATCAAAATTTCTTAGAATGACCTTTTCTGAAAGAATCTTCTACCTCCCTTCAATCGTTTCGCTCAAAATCTATTCGATTTCCCGTTTTAGATTAGAATTCTTCTCGAATATCAGTTTAGATTTTCTTTTGCTCTAAAATCCCTATATCTTGATCGTCTACAATATCGAAATTCCTTAGAATGATCTTCTTTTCGAGAAGAATCTTCTGCCTCTCTTCAATCGTCTCGCTAAAAAGCTATTAATTTTTCTGTGTTAGATTATAGTTCTTTTTTTTAGATTTAGTTATGCTCTAAATCCTTTTAGAAAATCCCTACATTGACCGTCTACAATATTGAAATTTCTTAGGATGACTTTTTCTGAAAGAATCTTCTACCTCTCTTCAATCGTTTCGATCAAAATCTATTGGATTTCCCGTCTTAGATTAGAATTCTTCTCGAATATCAGTTTAGATTTTCTTTTGCTCTAAAATTCCTATCTTCATCATCTACAATATCGAAATTCTTTGGAATGATCTTCTTTTCGAGAAGAATTTTCTACATCTTTTCAATCGTCTCGCTCAAAAGCTATTAATTTTTCTGTGTTAGATTATAGCTCTTTTTTTTTAGTTTTGCTCTAAATCCTTTTAGAAAATCCCTACATTGACCGTCTATAATATTGAAATTTCTTAGAATGATCTTCTTTTCGAGAAGAATCTTCTGCCTCTCTTCAATCGTCTCGCTAAAAAGCTATTAATTTTTCGGTGTTAGATTATAATTCTTATTTTTAGATTTAGTTTTGCTCTAAATCCTTTTAGAAAATCCCTACATTGACCGTCTATAATATTGAAATTTCTTACAATGACCTTTTCTGAAAGAATCTTCTACCTCCCTTCAATCGTTTCGCTCAAAATCTATTGGATTTCCCGTTTTAGATTAGAATTCTTCTCGAACATCAGTTTAGATTTTCTTTTGCTCTAAAATCCCTATCTTGATCGTCTACAATATCGAAATTCTTTAGAATGATCTTCTTTTCGAGAAGACTTTTTTACATGTTTTCAATCGTCTCGCTCAAAAGCTATTAATTTTTCTGTGTTAGGTTATAGTTCTTTCTTTTAGATTTAGTTTTGCTCTAAATCCTTTTAGAAAATCCCTACATTGACCGTCTACAATATTGAAATTTCTTAGAATGACCTTTTCTGAAAGAATCTTCTACCTCCCTTCAATCGTTTCGCTCAAAATCTATTGCATTTCCCGTTTTAGATTAGAATTCTTCTCGAATATCAGTTTAGATTTTCTTTTGCTCTAAAATTCCTATCTTAATCGTCTACAATATCGAAATTCTTTAGAATGATCTTCTTTTCGAGAAGAATTTTCTACATCTTTTCAATCGTCTCGCTCAAAAACTATTAATTTTTCTGTGTTAGATTATAGTTCTTTTTTTTAGATTTAGTTATGCTCTAAATCCTTTTAGAAAATCCCTACATTGACCGTCTACAATATTGAAATTTCTTAGAATTACCTTTTCTAAAAGAATCTTCTACCTCCCTTCAATCGTTTCGCTCAAAATCTATTGCATTTCCCGTTTTAGATTAGAATTCTTCTCGAATAGCAGTTTAGATTTTCTTTTGCTCTAAAATTCCTATCTTAATCGTCTACAATATCTAAATTCTTTAGAATGATCTTCTTTTCGAGAAAAATTTTCTACATCTTTTCAATCGTCTCGCTCAAAAGCTATTAATTTTTCGGTATTAGATTGTAATTCTTCTTTTTAGTTTTTAGATTTAGTTTTACTCTAAAACCTCCCAGAAAATCCTTATATTGACGGTCTACAATAACGAAATTTCTTAGAATGACCTTTTTTGAAAGAATCTTCTACCTTCCTTCAATCGTTTCGCTCAAAATCTATTGCATTTCCCGTTTTAGATTAGAATTCTTCTCGAACATCAGTTTAGATTTTCTTTTGCTCTAAAATTCCTATCTTGATCGTCTACAATATCTAAATTCTTTAGAATGATCTTCTTTTCGAGAAAAATTTTCTACATCTTTTCAATCGTCTCGCTTAAAAGCTATTAATTTTTCTGTGTTAGGTTATAATAATTATTTTTTTAAGATTTAGTTTTGCTCTAAAACCTCCTAGAAAATCCCTATATTGACCGGCTACAATATTGAAATTTCTTAGAATGACCTTTTCTGAAAGAATCTTCTACCTCCCTTCAATCGTTCTGCTCAAAATCTATTGGATTTCCCATTTTAGATTAGAATTCTTCTCGAATATCAGTTTAGATTTTCTTTTGCTCTAAAATATGTCTATCTTGATCGTCTACAATATCGAAATTCTTTAGAATGGTCTTCTTTTCGGGAAGAAGTTTCTACATCTCTTCAATTGTCTCGCTCAAAAGCTATTAATCTTTCGGTGTTAGATTATAGTTCTTTTTCTTAGACTTAGTTTTGCTCTAAAATCTCCTAGAAAATCCCTAGATTGATCGTCTACAATATCGAAATTTCTTAGAGTGATCTTTTCTGAAAGAATCTTCTACCTCCCTTCAATCGTTTCGCTCAAAATCTATTGGATTTCTCGTTTTAGATTAGAATTATTTTCGAATATCAGTTTGGATTTTCTTTTGCTCTAAATTCCCGATCTTGATCGTCTACAATATCGAAATTCTTTAGAATGATCTTCTTTTCGAGAAGAATTTTCTACATCTTTTCAATCGTCTCGCTCAAAAGCTATTAATTTTTCGGTGTTAGATTATAATTCTTTTTTTTTTTTTATTTAGTTTTGCTCTAAAACCTCTTAGAAAATCCCTATACTGACCGTCTACAATATCTAAATTTCTTAGAATGACCTTTTCTGAAAGAATCTTCTACCTCCCGTCAATCGTTTCGCTCCAAATCTCTTGCATTTTCCGATTTAGATTACAATCCTTCTCGAACATCAGTTTAGATTTTCTTTTGCTCTAAAATCCCTATCTTAATCGTCTACAATATCGAAATTTCTTAGAATGATCTTCTTTTCGGGAAGAATCTACAGCCTCTCTTCAATCACCTCGATCAAAAGCTCCTGTGTTGGTAAAAAATTATCTCGAACGTTGGTTTCGATTTTTTTTGCACTAGAAATCCATCGAAAGTTTCTTATTGGTCATCTACAATATCTCAATTTCTTAGAATGGTCTTCTTTTTGGGAACAATTTTCTACATCTCTTCAATCGTCGTATATGTCATTTGCGAAAATCAGTCTTATCTTACCAAGTACTAGCTCCGCCCACCCGCCACCTATTTTCTCAGAGGATAGGTCATTTGCCAAAATCAATCTTTCTTGACAAGCACTAGCACCGCCCCACCCACCCTTTATTTTCTTGTAGGGTATATCCTTTGCCAAAATCAGTCTTATCTTACTAAGTACTAGCCCCACCCACCCTCCCCCTATTTTCTCACAGGATATGTCATTTGCCAAAATCAATCTTTTCTTGCCAAGTACTAGCCCCGCCCACCCACCCTTTATTTTCTTGTAGGGTATGTCATTTGCCAAAATCAGTCTTATCTTACCAAGTGCTAGCCCCACCCACCCGCCCCCTATTTTCTCACAGGATATGTCATTTGCCAAAATCAGTCTTATCTTACCAAGTACTAGCCCCGCCCACCCGCCCCTATTTTCTCAGAGGATATGTCATTTGCCAAAATAAGACTTATGTTAGCATGTACTAGTACCGCCCACCCGTCCCTTATTTTCTCAAAGGGCTAGTCCTTGCAAAGATAAGTTTTATTTTGGCAAATGACATCCTCTGAGAAAATAGGGGCGGGTGGGCGGGGCTAGGACTTACTCAGATAAGACTGATTTTGGCAAACGTCATAGCTTCTAAGAAAACAGAGGGCGGGTGGGCGGGGCTAGTACTTGTTAAGATGAAACTTATTTTGGCAAATGACATAAACTCCGAGAAAATAGGGGGCGGGTGGGCGGGAGTAGCACTTGCTAAGATAAGACTGAAATTGCCCCCATTAAACTTGTAAAAACTTGTTAAATTTAAAAGGTGTTAAATTGCATATTTTCATAGTAACGAGTTAAATTCCTAAATCTGACAATTTAACATTATTTGAACACCTTTTTTTTAATGAAGCTAAAAATAAAACCTACATGATGTTGCGTTTTCTTAAATGGTGTTAAATTTACCTTAATTTAATTTTAACATATATTTAGCCTTGTAATAAATTATAGTTATATAACAATATCACAGTAGATCAGTAACGAAACTTCAGCAATATTTGCGGAACGGGTGTGACCTTGGGAGCCCGTTCCCGGGAAACACGAAGATTCAAATATTTCGTAGCATTCGTATGTGATTCATACAATACTAATAATTGTACACAAAAATAAAAATGGTTGGCATGTACTAGTGACATTGGTCATTTTTTTCTTTCCTATAAATTATATATATTCAAGCAAAACATTTTTATTCAATTTTGACGTTTTAAACTGCGTTTATTAAAACCTTAACAAGTCTGACAAATAAGTTGTTATCCACAAGTGAATTGCAAAATTTTTAATTCACTCTTAATATTTTTAAATCACTCACAAAAAAATAAAAAACAACTTCAGGAACATAAACATTTTGCTTATTATTTTTAATAGTTTTCACAGAATACAATTTGTTTACAATTTTCACTAAAAGGTTGCTGCAACTAAATCAGTATTGTTTGACATATTTGTTTGGCTCTGTGAGGCGTCAATTTGGGAATTGTATAAATCCCACACCAATAGAATTCCAAAGAACGTTTCGGAAACTATTTACTACAGATTATTTCGATACAAGTGCAAGAACCAACTGTGAAACACTATTTTATTTGAAATGAAAAATTTGCCAAGGTGTTCTTTTAAATAAACTTCCACAACACATCTTCCCTGTATTCCGGTCTCTTCAACAATCATTAAGTGATGTGAGTTACCGGAAACTCACCTTGAAAGAACACAACTGTTTATGGTATGTTTGTGGATATTCATTAATACGAAAATTCTTACACCACCACTTCTGCGAAGTTTGTGAGAACTTTGCACATTCTTACGAAGTGGTACATCCTGTTTTAATTCTGTGACATTTTAAAGTTTTCAATGAAGATGTGATTTTTGGCGATTTAATGATGCCACCTGAACATTTTGCAGTTTATACTCTGGTAGTGGGTAATACATTTTGTGAGTTTTTCCCAATTTATGCACTGTATACGTTAACTGGTTTGCGGCTAAAAAACGAACCATACAAAAATACCATTCCACCACCCCTGCAAAGACTTTCCTCTTGATTACCTCGTCTCAGTTTTTATTAGAGTTAGAATTTTTTACACACTAAAATTTAAAAATAAATCTTGGACCGCTCAAACACGCACACATCGAAAATTAAACTATTTCGTTTAACCTGCAGTTTGTTGACCTCTTTAGCCTGGAATTTTCTAGTATTTTTTACATGTATCGTAAGACTGTGTCGTAAGTATCTATTACTTTGTTACAATAAATTTTACGTTTGTTTTTAACCCCATAACCCAACATCCCGTATGATTCCGTAAATAATATGACATTTCTTGTTGACAAAACCAGACAAAACCAGACAAAACGTTCACCGAAAACCTTAAAATGAAAAAGAAACTATGTTCTTCAAGGTCGGAGCACCTTTAGTGACGCCAGTGACCTCTTTATGTCGTTCCGTAAGCTCCCCATGTATTTCTTATGGAGTCAGATGAGACTTTCATAGCCCTGACCACGGTGGTATAAGTAAGGTGTTTCAACTCCATTCATAAATTTTCATAAAACGGGCGCTTAAAAACTGGTATCGTAGTAGGTTGTGGGAGCTTAAGATGACCGCCACCATGTGGTAGTTACTTGTACTATTTGCGCTATCGACTGACGTTTGACATGACATTTGACGTATATTTCCCCTCATCTTTCAAAAAGATGTCACAAAACCTAACCTATAAAGCTGACATTTATGACAACTTGCATTCAAGGACATTTTTACGCAAATTTCATTCATTATTGTGGACAGTTTCATCATAGTATCCAGTAGACGGCGCTAGGAACTTTAAGCTCCCGTGGCCTTCTGGGATCTCTTCGAAAAAAGACCATTTTAAACTCGGAGTTCGCAGACCTGTTATATATGGCCGTGGCCCTGACCATGGTAGAAGGAGACATGGTATAGGCATCCGATGTACCAATTTAAAAATGGTCTGCGCATCCATTTGTGACGTTAGGTGGCATCAACGACCTTGTGACTCTTGTGAGCTTCGCTAGGGAAGTCTAGGGAATTTCAGCTTGAGTTGTCATTGCTCTGTCCAATACGTCAATTAGTTGTTGGATAACGAATTGTATTTTAAATTTCGCGCTAATTTCACCCCACTTGACGTCACACCAGATGCGTATGCCTATACCATGTCTTCTTCTACCATGGCCCTGACAATATACTTGTGTCCCAGAAGTGTTTCTACTGAACTTTTGAATAAAAGTTGAGTTCGATATTGTCCGCTATATCATTAAAACATTGTCAAAAACGGGTAAATCCGTGGAAAATTTTCAAAACTGGACAAAGGAACAACAAAAAATAAACTGATTTTCACACGGTGAAATATTTCGGATCCCGATTTATGCAACTTTAGTCACTGCCGCCCCAATTCAACACATGCTAGTGACATTCGCGTCCTCATGTTGGTTACGCAATAATCAACTTGTCATAACTTGTGTGTAGTTACAATTGGCGCCAAAATCTTCTGCGTCTTTTACTTCTCCAAAGAAAATAAAGTATAAAACGCCCAAAAATGCCCCCGCAACTGTCCACCGGAGCCCTATTGGTACGTGCCCCCCATTACCGCCATTTCACCCCAACCAACCCATTTTCAGCGAATAATGAAAGACGAGAAGGTGCCAGAGCCCATCGTGCAGATCCTCCAAAGCAAAAAAATCAACTGCAATTCCGATAAAGAACGATACAGACTATTAATATCAGACGGCAAGTACCAGATTTCCCACGCCATGTTAACCGGTGTGTCCGGAGTGGAAAATTTTTCGATAATTAAAATGAAGCAGTACCACTTGAGCGAATTGAGCAGCAGCCAGAAAATCAACAAAATCTTGCTGATTATTGGCATGGAGGTATTGTGTAGTATGGATGAGAAAATTGGGAATCCAGAGCAACTGACAGATCAAGTTATAGCGAGTCATTCGAGTTCAGAGGCTAAACCTGTGACTAACACAGTACAAAGCGTGCCAGAGCAGCCTAGAGACTTGAATCAGTCTTTGAACCAGAGTCTGTCGGAAAGTAGAGTCATTAGTCAGATTTCAGCCCTCACTCCTTATCACAACAAGTGGGTGATTAAGGCGCGCGTTTCAAATAAGTCTCAGATGCGGACGTGGTCGAATTCAAGGGGCGAAGGGAAGTTGTTTAGTGTTGATTTGATGGATGAGAGTGGAGAGATTCGGTGTACGGCGTTCAGAGACTTGGCTGACAAGTACTTCAACTACCTGCAGGTGACGACTTTATTTAGTAGCTTCAGAGATACTATTTTTGCTTAAATTTGTTGTTTCAGGTGGATAAAGTTTACTACTTTAGTAAGTGTCAACTAAAACCGGCCAATAAACAGTTCAACACGCTCAAAAATGACTACGAAATGACCATTGGTAACGAAACGGTGATCGAAGAGTGTCTTAACGACGACGGGTTGGTCCCTCAAGTTAAATACTCGTTCGTACCGATTTCGTCAGTCGCCGAGTTGGCTGTGGGGGCTCTGATTGATGTAATTGGAGTTTGTAAAGAGGTTTCTGACATTCAGAATTTTACGTCACGGACGACCAATCGCGAGATGACTAAACGTGACGTAATTTTAGTTGACCAATCAAAAACTTCGGTATTATCCCGCGCTTTTTAAAGTAACCAATAACGAGTTAGTTTTACAGATCACACTAACGTTGTGGGGTAGTCAAGCTGAAAGTTTTGACGGCGTGAATAATCCAGTGGTGTTGGTAAGGGGGGCCAAGGTGGGGGAATTCGGGGGCGGGAAAACTTTATCAACCGTCATGAGTAGTCAGATGAAGATCAACCCCGACATACAGGAGTGTCACAAAATTAAAGGGTGGTTCGATTTGGAGGGGAAAGAGTCGGATGTGAAGAATTTGAGTGAAAGGTATTATTTTCGTAAAATTTGAGCCACACTTAATAATAATAAAAAAAAAAATAGGACCGGCAGTGGCAGCTTCCAGAGTCAGTGGCTTTATTTGAAGGAAGTCCAAGATAAAGGTCTGGGTAATTCCGAACGCGGTGACTATTTCCAAACCCTAGCCACTGTGTTGTTAATGCGGTCCGAAAACGCCATCTACAAAGCGTGTCCAACTCCAGATTGTAACAAGAAAGTAGTAGATTTGGAAAACGGGATGTACAGATGCGAGAAGTGTAACAGGGAGTATCCCAATTTTAAATACAGGTTGTTAGTTTCGGTGAGTAATCGTGCGTGGAACGCAGTTGGCAACACTGAAACGACGTGTTTCAGATGAACATAGGCGACTTCAGCGGTAACCAATGGGTGAGCGTGTTTTCCGGAGAGGCGGAGAAAATCTTAGGAAAGACCTCCCAGGAGGTGGGGCTTGCGATGGAAGATAACTCGGAGGCGGGGACCGCCATTTTCCAAAACGCCAATTTTAAGCAGTTCATTTTTAAATGCAGGGCCAAAGTTGAGACTTACAATGTAGGTAAAAGGGCGACTTGAGTGTGGATTGCAGTTTTTGTTTTAGGATGAACAGCGGCTCAAAATCGTGGTTGTCAATGTGGAAAATGTTGATTATGAAAAGCATTCGGGGCAGCTGTGTAAAGAAATTGCAGAGTTGACGGGAATAAACGCTTGAAGGTGGGGTTGGCACTAATTAAAATTTAGGTTTTTATACGGATTCCAGTTGCTTTAGCTTTTACATATATATATTAGTGATCACACAGTATACAACCTTGAAGGTGTTTTTTTGTTAATTACGTGTGTGTAAAGTTGAAAAATAGACACAGTACAGCTTTATAAAGAAGTTTATTTTTCGAACAATTCCAGTTTTACGATAGCACTGTGCTTATAATGGGCATTTGATAATGTATTTGTTGCGGTTGCCCAAGCCCCGCCTCCCCATCACGCCACACCTCCTTATGATTCCTTTGATGTTTCTTCATACTACTAGAGTCATAAAACCCTTTCCCGCAAACGGGGCAAACGTAGGGCGTTTCTCCCGTGTGCGTCCTCACGTGAACTGTCAAATTCCCCTTCAAAGCGAAACTCTTACTACAATACGAACACGTGTACGGTCTTTCCCCACTATGAGTCCTCAAATGATACGTCAAATGTGACAACTGCGTAAACGACTTACTACAATATTTACAACTATAGGGCTTCAACCCCGAGTGTATCAACATATGCGAATCGAAACTCCCCACGTGTGCGAACGACTTCTTACAAATAACACACGTGTGCGGTTTTTCCCCCGTGTGCACTTTCAAGTGCGAGTGAAGCGCCGCCTTCGTCACAAAGCCCTTCCCACAATTACTACACAAAAACGACTTCTCCCCGTGCGTCAGCCGATGCGCCTTAAGGAGGTGCTTAGTCTTGTACGCCCGCGCACAAATATCGCACACGTGATCACGTGACTCCACCGTCTTCTCCGATTTGTCGGCCTTCCGCACGAACGAATCAGACGTGTGCTTCTCGATGTGGGCGTTGAACGGGGCGAGGCGTTTGAAGCCACGCCCGCAGTAGTTGCACGTGAACTTCAGCGAGCCCAAACACTCGGGGGCGAGGTTTTCGTGCGCCTGGTGGACCTTCTCGTGGGCGTGCAGCGACGTAGCCTGGATGAAACCCTTGCCGCAGATGCTGCACACGTGGGGGCGCTCGCCGGTGTGGGTCATCTTGTGGCGCTTCAAGTTGCCGCTCATGGAGAAGCTCTGGGCGCAAATCTCGCACTGGTAGGGCTTCTCTTTGGTGTGCGAGCGCATGTGCTGGCGCAGCTTGCTCCGAGTGAAGGCTTTGTGGCAGATCTCGCACTTGTGGTTTCGGTGCTCCGGGTGCTTGGCGGCCTTACGGTGGTGGCGGAGATCGTCTTTGGTGGCGGTGGTGTAGTCGCAGATGTTGCATTTGTGCTGTTCGGGGGTTTTGGCTGACTTTTTTTTGTCGTTTTTATCACAATCGCTGGATTCGCACTTGATGTCGGCGTCGTCTTCAATGAGGGTGATGTTGCAGGTGAAGTCTTCCTCTTTGTCGCTTTTGTCGCTGTCGTGGATGTTGGTAGCGAGAAGTTTTAAGGCGGCTTCGTTTTCGTAGCACTGTTTTTTGAATTCATATACTTTGTAGAGCTCGTTGAGGCAGTTTTCGCATATGTTTTGAGGCAGGAAGTCGTATTTGTTGATGTCTATTAGTACGGTGTCTTCGAGTAAGTCTGCCACTTTTAAATCACCGATGGTGGTGTCCATGATGGGGCTAAGTTTTTCGTCTCCTAAGCACGTGCGACATATCCGGTCGAAATCCTTAAATGTTACGGCCTTTGAAGAGTAAGCGCAGGTCATTTTTAGTGGTTTGTCGAGGGTTGGGGGCTGCTCATCTCCAAAGTTTCGGTCTCAAGTCACTTTGGGAGTTTCTCCATCCAAAAACAAGTATTTCGTAAAATATTTATACTGTTCTATGTTTGTTTTAATTGTTCATTTTTCGAAAATGCAAATTCTGACGGTTTTATACTTTTGCGGAAACATCAACAAACCTAACCTCAAAATATAATGCATCGATTTAAGGCGTTAGGGACTTTTGTGTCCTTATGTCAAAACACAGTGGCGTCTCGTTGTGGAAGCAACGACACTTTCACTTTTAATTTCTTTATTTATAACTGCTATAACAATAAAAACTTGCTTGCTTTGAATTTTTCTGTAGTTGGGGAAATTACAAAGAACACACTTTTGTAAAAAATACACTTTTCAAACAATCATTCTTACAAAATTCTGGTTATTTATCCTCATGGCTCTTCTGATGCTTCTTCATACTACTCGAGTCATAAAACCCTTTGCCACAAACGGGGCAAGCGTACGGCTTTTCCCCCGTGTGCGTTCTTTCGTGCACCTTCAAATTCCCCCTCAAAGCGAAACTCTTATCACAATACGAGCACTTATGCGGCCTCTCCCCACTGTGCGTCCTCAAATGGGACTTCACATGCGACGCCTGCGTAAACGCCCTATCACAAAACCGACACTTATATTGCTTCACCCCCGTGTGTGTATGCAAGTGCGAAACCAGACTCATATAGTGCGAAAACGTCTTCTTACACACCTCGCACGTGTGCGGCTTTTCCCCCGTATGCACCTTCAAGTGCGAGTCAAGCGCCGCCTTCGACACGAAGCCCTTCCCACAATCACTACACAAAAACGTCTTTTCGCCGTGTACCAACTGGTGCGTTTTGAGCGTGCGGCTGGTCTTGAAGGCGCGCGCGCACACGTCGCACACGTAGTCGCGTGGCTCGCTCTTCTCCGATTGGACTTCCGCGCCCGACTCGAGGGCGTGCTTTTCGGTGTGGGCGTTGAAGTGGCCGAGGCGTTTGAAGCCCCGCCCGCAGGACTCGCACGTGTATTTCCACTGTTCGTGGGAGCGGCGGCGGACTCCCTTGTGGGAGTGGTGGACTTGTTTGTGGGCGAGGAGGGAGGCGGCTTGGATGAAGCCCTTCCCGCAGAGCTCGCAGATGAAGGGGCGCTCGCCAGTGTGCAGCATTTTGTGGCGTTTCAAGTTGCGGTCTATGGAAAAGCAGCGCGAGCAATACTCGCACTGGAAGGGTTTTTCTTTGGTGTGGGTGCGCATGTGGCGGTCGATGGTGGCACGGTAGAATATTTTGCAGCAGACTTGGCAAGTGATTTTGGGGCGGTTGGGGCGTCTGCGGGGTTTCGGGGGCTTTGGGACGTCGTTTTCGGGGGGTGTTGTGTCGGGGCGGGCGCTGTAATTGTGTTCTTGAGGAGGGGTGTTTTTCACCGGACTTGAGTCTTTTTCGCAGCTTTTTTCAGAATTTAGGTCTACATCGTCTCCGATGATGGTGATGTTGTACGAGATTCCTTCTTCTTTGGGGGTTGTGGTAGCTCCAAAGGCATTGTCTGCTAGTAGTTTTAGGGCGGCTTCGGTGTTTTGACACTGTTTCTTGAATTTGTAGACTGCGAAAAGGGCATTAAGGCAGGCTTCACACATATTTTTTGGGAGAAAATCGTCGTTGCTGACTTCAATCGTCACAGTGGACTTCAGTAAATCGACGATTTTTAAATCACCTATGAAGGTGTCCATTATGGGGGTTATTTTTTCGTCCCCCATACAGGTTCGGCATATTCGGTCGAAATCTTTTAAAGTTATAGCCTTCGAAGCACACACAAAGTTCATTTTCGGTAGTTACCAACTTTTCAATTATTGATTTTCCAGATTTTTTTAAAAAACGTGATTTTAATAATTGTAGAAAGATAAACAAACTCATAGGTAAATTAATAAATTGTAGAACAAATTTCAAACAACAAACACACACACCTAACCTCAATATTTGGGTCACCGGTTTTAGGGATTTTTGTTTTTTGGTTGATCCTTACCAAAAGTTCAGTGGCGTTACGTTACGGTTCCTTGGGAATATTGTTTGAGAATAAAAAAACTTGTTCCCGTTGAGAATAACTTTGATGTTCAAGTTTTGCCGCATTAAAAGGGGGAGGATTTAGGTTAATTACTACAAAAATTTAGCATTTTAGGCAAGTTTTAAGTTACTTGTTGTCAAAATAAGTCTACATGGATTAATGAAAAAAAAAAAAAATGTAGCCCCACCCACCCTCCCTATCTCAGTTGTGATATTTTTTTATTCATCGTGAGCCAAGGGGGCGGAGCTTAACTGCAAAATCCTTATTTCTCTACGAGAAATTAAAAACATGTTTTTGAGCATCGTGGTGTTCAAAGAATACTACGTATATTAAAAAAAAAGAGGAAAATATAAGCCCCGCCCACCCACCCTATCTCGATTGTGATGATTTTTTTATCGTCGATAGCCAAAGGAGCGAAATTTAATTGCAAAATCGTTATTATTTCTCTAAAAGAAGAAATTACCATGTAAGACATGTTTTTGACTATCGTGTTATTCAAAGAATACTACGTATATTAAGAAAAAATTAAAGCCCCACCCATACCTACCATGATCTAAATAGGAAAGTTTTCATTCGCTGACAGATCTAGGGGAAGAGCCTAATTGCAAAATCTATAGTTTCTTACAAAAATTTACCATTTTAAACGTATTTTAGATTTCTAAGAATAAAAAAATCATCACAATTGAGATGGGGTGGGTGAGCGGGGTTTATATTTTGCCTTTTTTTTTTCTTAATATGGGTACATTGTATTCATTGAACACCACGATACTCTAAACATGTTTTTAATTTTTGTAAAGAAATAAGTATTTTGCAATTAAGCTCCGCCACCTTGGTACACGGCGAATAAAAAAATCATTGCAATTGAGATAGGGTGGGTGGGCGGGCTCATATTTTGCCTTTTTATTTTAATATGTGTAGAACTCTTTTCACGACATGAAACTTAAAACATGTTTAAAATGGAAAATTTGTATAAAGAAGTATCAATACTGCAATACGCCCCATAATTACAAAATTCATATTTCGTTGATAAAATGGACCATTTCAACAATGTTTTAAGTTTCTTGTTGTGAAAAGCTGGCTATGTGTATTAAGAAAAAAAAAGGCAAAATATAACTCTCTCAACGAGAAATTAAAAACATGTTTTTGAGTACCGTGGTGTAAAAAATATAGTATGTATATTAAGAAAAAAACAAGCCAAAGATTAAGCCCCACCCATAACTGCACTGATCTAAACACATATGCAGTAATGATGTTTTCATTCGTTGTCAGACCTAGGGGCGGAGCCTAATTGCAAAATCCATAGTTTACCTTTTTTTTCTTAATATACCTACATAGTATTCCTTGTACAACACGATACTCAAATACATGTTTTTAATTTTTTGTAAAGAAATAAGTATTTTCCAGTTCAGCTCCGCCCTTGGTTGACGGCGCATAAAAAAAATCATCACAATTGAGATAGGGCGGGTGGGTGGGTTTACATTTTGGCTTTTTGTTTTAATATTTTTAGACTTCCTTTAACAACATGAAATTTAAACATGTTTACAATGGAACGTTTGCATAAAGAAATATCAATATTGCAAATAAGCTTCGCCCCATAATTTTAAAATTCATATTTCCTTGGAAAAATATACCATTTTAACCATGTTTTTAGTTTCTTGTTGTGAAAAGATGGCTATGTATATTAAGACAAAAAAAGGCAAAATATAAGCCCCACCCACCCGCCCTCTTTCAATTCTGATTATTTTCTTATTAGTCGTGAGCCGAAGGGTGGAGCTTAATTGTAAATCCTTATTTTTCTAGAAATTACCATGTGAAATATGTTTTTAAGTAATCGTGTTATACAAAGAAAACTAAAGGTTTTAATTAAAAAAAAAACCAAAAGAGAAGCCCCACCCATCCGTCTCGATCTCAATCGTGATGAATTTTTCATTCGTTGTCAGACCGAGAGGCGGAGCGTAATTGCAAAATCGATATTTCCCTATACAAATTTACCATTTTAAACATGTTTTGAGTTTCTTGTTGTGAAAAGATGACCACACATGTCAAGAAAACAAGGCAAAATGTAAGTTTCCCCCATCCGCCCTGTCCTAGTTGTGATGATTTTTATTCGTCGTGAGCCAAGGAGGAGGAGCTTAATTGCAAAATCTTTATTTGTCTACAAGGAATAAAAACATGTTTTTGAGTATCGTGTTGTTCAAAGAGTAGGTACTATGTATATTAAGAAAAAATAAAGCCAAAGATTAGGCCCCACCCAAACCTGCCCTGATCTAAATAGTAGTGAAGTTTTCATTCGTTGGCAAAGTTAGGGGAGGAGTCTAATTGGAAAATACATATTCCCTTATAAAAATTGTGTTTTAAGTTTTTATGAATAAAAAAATTATCACAATTGATATGGGGTGGGTGGGTGGGGTATATATTTTGCCTTTTTTCTTAATATAAATTGTATTCTTTGAACAACACGATATTCAAAAACACATTTTTAATTTCTTGGAAAAACATAAGTATTTTGCAGTTAAGGTTTTGGTTCACAGTGAATAAAAAAATCTTTACAATTGAGATAGGGCGGGTGGGCGGGCTTACATTTTGCCTTTTTGTTTTAATATGTACAGACTTCTTTTCACAATATTGATTTTGCAAAAATGTACCATTTTAACCATGTTTTAAGTTTCTTATGAAAAGATGGCAATGTATATTAAGAAAAAAAAGGAAAATGTAAGCCCCGCCCACCCGCCCTATCTCAATTCTGATGATTTTTTATTCGTCGTGAGCTGAGGGGAGGAGCTTAATTGCAAAATCGATACTTTCCTACAAAAATTTACCATTTTAAACATGTTTTAAATTTTTTGTGAGAGTTTGAAAAATCCTGGGGGCTGTTGGACAAATTACAAAAACCACACTTTTACAAAAAGTATATTTTTTGAACAATTATAGTTTCTGGTTATTATCGACACTGTAAAAACAAAATAAACCAGATTAAAGGTATCCCTGTCCTAATGACTCTTTTGATGCTTCTTCATGCTACTAGAGTCATAAAACCCTTTTCCACACACGGGACAAATGTATGGCGTCTCCCCCGTATGCGTCCTCACATGAACCGTCAAATTCCCCTTCAAAGCGAAACTCTTCCCACAAAACGAGCACTTGTGCGGCCTCTCCCCACTATGCGTCCTCAGATGAGACCTCAAATGCGACGACTGCGTAAACGCTTTAGTACAAAAACTACACCTATAGGGCTTCAACCCCGAATGTATATGCATGTGCGAAATGAGAGTCATATAGTGCGTAAACGACTTTTTACACACCTCACACGTATGCGGCTTTTCTCCCGTATGAACCTTCAAGTGCGAGTCAAGCGCCGCCTTCTTCACAAAGCACCTCCCACAATCACTACACAGAAAAGTCTTCTCGCCGTGCGTCAACTGATGCGCTTTAAGGTGGTGCTTGGTCTTGTACGCGCGCGCACAAACATCACACACGTAATCACGCGGCTCGCTCTTCTCAGACTTGTCATCCGCAGACGAATCGGGGGCGTGCTTCTCCGTGTGGGCGTTGAAGTGGACGAGCCGCTTGAAGCCACGCCCGCAGAAGTCGCACATGTATTTCACCTGTTCACACTTGGGCGGGAATTGCTGTGATTGGTGGACTTTATGGTGGGCGTGGAGGGACGTGGCTTGGATGAAGCCCTTCCCACACACGTTGCACACATGTGGCCGCTCGCCGGTGTGGATCATTTTGTGCCGCTTCAAGTTGCGGCTGAGCGAGAAGCTCTGCGAGCAGAATTCGCACTGGTAGGGTTTTTCTTTGGTGTGTGACCGCATGTGTTGGCGAAAGTAGCCGCGGTTGTAGACTTTCTTGCAAACTTCACACTTGCGTTTGACGCGTTGAGGGTGTCTGGGGGATTTTTGGTGCTCCCCCAGGTGTTCCTGGGGGGCTGTGTCTGAGTTTTTCTCGCAGTCGCTTTTTTCCGATTTTATGTCCACGTCGTCTTCGATGATGGTGATGTTGCACAAGAATTTCTCTTCTTTGTCACTTGGCTCGTCATCAAAGACGTTTTCCGCTAGGAGTTTTAAAGCGGCTTCGTTATCTTGACACTGTTTCTTGAATTTGTGGACTGTGTAGAGGTCGTTAAGGCAGGTTTCACATATATTTTGTGGAAGAATATCGTCTGTATTGACTTCAATCATCACGTTAGACTTTAGTAAATCTGTCACTTTTAAGTCACCTATGTAGGTGTCCGTTATGGGGCTTATTTTTTCGTCTCCCATGCAGGTTCGACATATTCGGTCGAAATCTTTTAAAGTCACAGCCTTCGAAGCACAAACATAGTTCATTTTTGGTTGTGTGTTATTATCGCTTTAACCGACCGTAATTATTTTTTATTTTTACAAAAACTTCATTTTAATAATGTAGAAACATAAACAACCCATGGATAAATTCATAAACTGGGAATAAACTTCAAACAAAAACACCTAACCTGAAAATTTAGGTCGCCGAATTAGGGATTTTTGTTTGTTAGGTTGATCCTAACCAAAAAGTCAGTGGCGTCGTATTACGAAACAATGGGGAATATGATTTTAGAATTTAAATTATTGGAACAACGTAAAATTTTTGTTTTATTTCAAGTATTCACTACGATACATTTAAAATAGATGAGTGTGCAAAAGTTGCATCAGCTCAACTTCTGCGAAATTTATCATATCAATAAATGAGCAATAAGTGATATACCGTCTATTTGCACGCAATAAGGTGACAACGCAAACTAAACAGCATTTTCTATTTAATAATAATCAAATTAAATATATTTTACAAAACAACACTAAAATACAACCACATTCCAGTACAACCATAAAGCAATTCCTATTCAGTTATCATGACTCGTCGACGCCTGACTGTTAGACTGTGATGCATTACTCGACGCCAAGTCCCCCGTAATGCACGGGATGCTCGGTATCTGCCACCCTTGCTTCGAAAAGCCCGAGTACTGTGATGTCATGGGTTTAATGGGTGATGGTAAATTTGCCGCCTCGTCTTCCTTCTCCAACAGCGTCTCCTCCCCCGCTTTCTCACCTTCCACGAACGGAAGAACAAAATCCGACTCCACTTGCGACGGTACCAGCGGTACTTGCGTGATGGTACAACTACTCCCCACGGGACTAAACGGATCGGGAGTAAAACTCGGGGACTTCCGCTTCTCCGGAGTCAACTCCGCCACGCTATTCTCCCCACTCAAATCCGAAAAATCTATATCGTAGTTAATTTTCGACAAACTCAAGCTGTTTTGGTCATCCGGAGTGGCGCCCTCTAGACTTTCGAAAGCCGGGGAGAGAAACTCCAACGACTGTTGCTTGTCCATGCACGACGTGATGTCTAATTGTAGTTTGGTTTTATTCTCGCCGAGGTTGTTCTGACCGATTTGCAAATTTTGTAGGTAGAAGTTGGTTTGAGGTTGGGTTTCTTCAACCTCGATTTTAATGGCGGCGATTTGGGAAGCCTCGATTTTTAGATCTTCGGGGGTTTTTCGAGGCTTGATTATGAGAGGGGTTTTTTCTAAAACTGAGATGACTTTCTCGTTGATTTCGTCTTTGAATTTTAGAATGTCTTGAGTGAGTTTTTGAGTTTCGTCTTGTACTGTGGTTGTACGTTGTGAGAGGTCTTTGAGGAGAGAGAGGTGCTCGCAGAGTTGGTGCATGCCCTCGCATGCCACTAGCGCGGATTCCCAGGCGCTGACTGATGTGATTTCGCCGTTCATGTAGGCTTCGAATTCTTGTTGGGGCATGTTGAGGGACTCGGCGGTGAGGTTTTCGATGAAAGAGACGGCGCAGCACTATAAAACAATTATTATTATTAATATTATTACGATTACTAGGGTTGGCGGTTGTCGTTCTTACCAAATTAGTGAAATAGTAGCCCGCTTCTCCTTGCATTAGTCTACTATCGTTACAAAATCGTGTCACGTATAAAATATTGCTCTTCAGTCTAGCCGGGTTAGCTTTCAACACGATGAAGATAAGTGCTGGTAAAAACTCGTCTGCACTAACCGGCCCTCCTTGACAGTGCTGCAGCACTTTAACCACACTCTGGCAACAATTGACCACACAAGCCAATTTTTCCTGGGGTGCTTTCATCGAATCCATCCCTAGCAAATGCGTGATAGCTGTATATACTAAATCCCTAACTTCTATACTAGTTTCGCTAATGCAACAGTCTAAATGGTGGGCGTTGACCCAGCTAAGTTTGCGTATGCGTTCTTGAATAATAAGATCTTTCTCTTCGTCGTTAGTAGAGGGCGGGCAGAACAGCCAACTATCGATTAACCTCGGTTATTGTCGTTACTCATCGTACTCACCCACTCACCTATACAGACTAACCATGACGTACTTCTCGAAGAAGTCCAAAAGCTCGTCCCTCACATCTGTGGTCACTTCTTGATACGTCTCCGTCGAGTTAACCCGGTTGCTGTACAGGTTGTAGTACTTCTGCGCCATTTCTGCTATATCTTCGATGGGTTTGTTGTCCAACTCGCTGTAGATCTTGGTGGTGAAGGACTGGACACACTTGAAGAAGTCCCTCCGGACCATGTCTCCCCATACCCCGTACAGGGAGATGAACTCCGCCATTAATTTATCGGCATCGGGGTTGGCTTGGCGCAAGTCCAGATGGCGCTCCGGACGTCCCGAATCTGTGCGCTTTATTAACACAAGGGCTACTTTCGGAGGGGTGAATTACCTTTGACGCTCGATGTTTTGCGAAAGACGGGTAAACTCTTCAAGTACTTGTTCTTCTTGTCGGTTTGTTGGCGCTTTTTTTCCTCGAATTTTGAAAAACCAGAGATTTTCGTCTGATCGCTGTGGTGGCTTTGGCGGGCTTTCCGTTGCCGCTCTTGGTCCATGTGGTTGCGATAGCATTTTGAACAATAGCCTGAAAACGGGTTCGAATTGAATTGATGGACGGTTTGGTTATCAGAGAGTGTCGATCATCTCGAAGTTTGTGTGATAAGAGATGTTGTTTTAAAGTCTGGTCGTGACGTCAATTATTTGCTATAGAGACAAAAGGAAAGTATTTCCTGTAATGAGTAAACATATTTGGGTAAGGAGTGATAAGGGGTGATAACTTTATGGACGAACCGACTTAATTAAATAATTATCAAATAGCCATGTGAAGCGAGACGTGAATAAACTTTACTGAGACCAGTGACTTAAATTTTTATTTATTTATTTTTTCTAATGGCAACTAAATTCAACTAAAAGACCAATCAAAAGATGTGGAGTACATATTGTTTTTTTTTTTTTTAATTCCAATAATTAATGAAATATCGAGAAACGCGTCGTTAGTGAGTCACCTTTATATCTTCAAATGTCAACTTAATTATACTGGTGTTTCCTAAAGTCTGGTTTTTCGGAAACGTTAAATCTAACAATGCTACAACAACAAAATTTTTGTTTCTATGGTACATACTGTACATTCTTCTAAATGTTTGAACTTTTTAATCTGTGTTTATTTCTCCAAATGTCTACATTTTTTCTAGCTTCCTTTTAATCGCAACATCTAAACATTATCAGAAATAACAACAACATTTGTAATCTAGATCACAGGATCACTTCCATTTATTACCTTCAATGAAACACTTGATATAAACAGAACGAACTCTCGTCTAATAAAAAAAAAATCTTTTTGACGACAAACTCACCATCCCAGTCGGCATTCCCGTAGTACCCGCACCCATTCTTGCACTTAAGATCCGCTTGGTTGATCCTCAACGACGGCTGCTTTGTGGCATACATCATGTACTTGTACGACCTCTGCAACGCAAAGATCGGCATTTTGACTAAACTAACAAACACTAAATCCAAACTAACGAAAATGTTTATAAGTCCTCAAGGTAGTGCTACCTTGCGCGCTTAATCACCGTTAACGACTTTGCCCATTGGGGGTAGTGATCACGTGAGCACGTGAAAATAGGAACACTCGAAATCAAAGTCTGTCGCTTTTTACCACGGTGGTACGAAGCTGTGGTCGTGTGCACACAGGTTCAATTCCTTCATCAGCATCTGTACCACGGGGAACTGGGGGAATTTCAAGAAGTTGAGGCCCGCCGTCTCCACGACGTGGACCCTCGCTAGGGGGTCGATGAGAGACGCGCATCCATTCAAATTTTCACCAGGATCAGCCATTGGTAGAGGGAGTGTTGTGGGGGCTGCTGTTGTAACGACAGGGTGAAGAAATTCGGAACACGGGGAAAACGAACGAGTCACACGTGCGAAATGTCAGATTTGGACGGAGAGACGTGACGGGCTTTCGGCGACTTTGAGACGAAACTGTTTGTTGGAAAGCGTTAAGAGCTTTTATATCTGCTGGGTTTATCTTGGTGATAAGGATGAGCCAATCGAATGGGCAAGGTTAAAAGTCTAATTACTCTACAAAATTTTATCTGCGGCCAATGGCTGAGAAGCATAGTTTTCACGCTAAATCGGCACAGGATTCGCGTCAATGTATTTTTTTTGAGATAAAGTCAAGACTAAATTGATGATGATTTCATTGGAGGGGTAATGGTTGGAGTTTAAGGAAATAGGAAAATATTTACTAGTTTGGTCGACTTTGGTAATAAAAGTGTTTACTTACGCTTGTCTAGGGTCCGACTACTGATTTGTTTTGCATTCTGTGGTGATAACCTGAAACGAAAATGTCATTATTAAAAGTACAAAGGAAATTCCTGTTGAGTTAAATAAATATTGACGGAACCGTGAAACTGTTGAACTAATTACCAAATAACCCAATCTGTGTAAACATGAGTAAGATCCTTGATAATTAACATTAGTATTAAAATGGGTGTAATGGCCACCTTCTAGCCTGTTAATCATTAGAACAAAATCACGATAAATCAACATGACTCATACTCTATTAATTAATACTTCGGTACTTACAGGAGCTTTTACAACTCATTAATTGTTACCACACTCTTTTATTGATTTTTAATCTATTGAGGTTAGAACATTTTGACATTTGTGATAATTTGGTGCATCGCAACCAACCTAAAAACCGTAAAAAACTTATTGCACTAATAACCTTGAATTTTTTAATTAGTCAGCGACCTAATTTTCGTTATATCACGTTTTTTCCACATGCTTCTACCAATAAAATTTGTCTGTTGTTTTTTTTGCGTGCTAAAAATAATAATCTCGTGGATCTAAACTTGAAGCCAGTTTAAAATCAAGGTCGTTGCTAACTATAAATCTTTATCGGATTGAATCATATCTTGGTTAAAAATATCACTCAAAATTTATTAATTCTTATTTAATGACGCGCATATCAAAAGTTTGATAAATGTGATGCAACCAGTAATACAAGTACAGTTTAATCATTTTGAAAACCAGTGGCGTAGGGTAAATTTAGTGGTGGAAGTTTCAGCAACGCGTAGCGAAATTTCGCAAATTCACTGTGGCAACACTGGTTGATTGCAAAGACTACAAGACCAAAGATCACGAATTGCGTAATGTGTGTTTGTTACTTAAGAAACGTCGACAAATATACAAAATCAAAGATATTAAAAATATCATATTAATATTTTTCCGATGTTCTTGTTCTTGTTCAAGTCGAAATATCGGCGACAATGCTATCTTTGGCAAGCTGTGTCTTACGCACTTTTGGTATTGAGTTTGTGCTCGATGGCAAGGGCCAAATGCGTCGACCCAAGTTGTAGTGGTAATGGGGTGTGCAAAAATGATACTTGCGTGTGTTACGATGGATGGCAGGGGCCCCAATGTCAGTTCTGCGGCGGGAAAGTGCGGTAAGAACATTTTGTAATTTATTAATTGTATATAATTTTCGAAAAAATTGCGGTGTTGGTGGATTTTTGATTTTTCTTCTCCCAGTCTGGGCACCTCAACCGGCACCATCCACGACGGCTCGGGCAACTACTCCCTCGGCGCCAAATGCAGCTGGTTGATCGACGCCCCCAACACTCACATCACCCTCCATCTAGAGGACTTCGCGACGGAATGCGGCTGGGACTACCTTTACATCTTCGACGGTGACAATGTGGACTCGCCCCTGCTGGCCGGCTTCAGCGGCCTCATGTACAAGAACAACTACAGCATGCGGCACATCCCCGAAATTGTGGCGTACTCTGGCTCCGCCTTGGTGCACTTCTCCAGCGACGACGCCTTCACCATGTCGGGTTTCAACTTGACCTATCGCCTGAACGCCTGCCCGTCGAAGGTGTCGGGGGTGGACTGCAGCGGCAACGGCAGGTGCAACGAGGAAGTGTGCACTTGCTACGACGGCTGGACGGGGGCGGCGTGCCACCTGCAGGAGTGTCCCGACAACTGCGGCCACCACGAGGGAAGAGGGCACTGCGTGCCGGGGTTCGGGTGCGGGTGCAAGAGCGACTATAAGGGGGACGATTGCGGTCAGTACGCCCCCAATGGGTACTGGGAGACGGTGAAGGTGAAGAGCTCCGTGCCACCGGGGTCGGCGTCGCACGGGGCGGCGGTCTGGAAGGACTCGATGTATTTGATCGCCGGGGAGAGCTACATTAAGAGGTCCATGGTTTATGTATACGATTTTAAAGGTAAAATAATAAGTACCCGAACTGATTGAAAAAGGCTGGATTTCTACAATAACAACTAAGGGGACTCGCTAGACGAGGTATAACATTTTTTTGGTTTTTTGTATGAAAAAATGATATTAATATAGATGTATCTACATCAAACTGCAGCTGTTTTCATATTCTAGAGCGCAGAGACCAGTTTAATCAATTAAAAAAATATGGCTGAGAAATATCGTAAAAAAAGCACCACTGCATGTTTTCTTTTCAAGTTTTTTGAGTCATAACCATCATAGAATCGTTTGAAAATTCGCACATGGATAAAACATCACTTTTTACAGAGCGCAGAGTCATTAAATGTTTGTTAGTGGTACAATTTGTTTAAATAATAATGTGTTTATTAAAATCAAAATATACCACAAATTAATGCAAAATACGTCGAATAATTTTAACAGGAATATCAGAGGAAAATTAATGATCTATTGGTTAGCAGAGTTTTTAACAAAAATTAACAATTATTGAAAAAAATGGGTATCAATTCGACAGAATTTGAGCAGTTAGTTCAGTACTTTGCCGATAGGAGCGCCACTAAAATTTACGGAAGCGACTTTCCAGGTAAAACTCTTATCGCCTGCTCTACCATAAGCTAATTGTTAGAGTTCTCGGCTGATTTTTCTAATTTATGGCAAGGAACTCAGTTTTATAACAAGCCGCCAGGACCGGCCGTAGTAATCTATTGTTAAGGAAATTAAATTTTACGCAATGAGGTACTATCATAAAACCGAATTAAAACTGGGGAACTATAATATTTTTACTCCACTCGGGATCCTGAATTCAATACACATGATTACTAAAAAATCATTGTAATATTATTGTTAATATATATTTTGCTTTGTTAATTAATAAAACTAATAAACATATTTATAATAATAATAAAAAATATATAAAATACAGCTTTTGTTTAACACGTATAAGTAGCTAAGTGTATCTACTACTTATCCCTAAAAGGAGGTGTTTTAAAAAAGCCCTACGTCCAGTAACTTCTCCCTTCATTGTTTACTCGAAAAAAGTGCTCGTATAGGTTTTCATTTGCCGAGAGATCATTTTCAAAATATATTTATAGTAAAAATATGCAAGTCTTGGTGATGAAAAATGTACTCCTAATAAATTATTAAAGTACATAAAAAATAGAAACAAATTTTATTTATTTAAAAAAAATCTCTCGCAAAGGCAGGTTCCCCTTTCTTCTTGAATCAATTATTTCGGGCAATAATGCGCCAAAGTAAAATCTGCCAAGTTTATCTGCCATCTTTTTACATATGTTTCTTCGTCTTTATAAATTTTTTCTATGTTTATTCCTTCGTGTGTCCATACAACAAAATAAACTTGTGAAATACCCGTAACAAGCATTTGTCCCTGGATTTGAAAGTAGTAATCATGATTCTTTTTTTAGTTTCAATTCTCTCACTGTCAATGTACAAAATTTGATTATTTTTTTTCTAACCGCTTCTTCGGGAGACAAATCCTGCGATTTTGAAGGGCATTTAATTTCGACTAATGCACTCCTATCCTCTAGAACCCTGTCTGGACTAGCAGCCAAGTAAGGAAATTGTTTTGAAATAAACAAGCCACACCGTTCAGTTTTTATATTTTTATTTATTTCAAAACACTTGACAGCTTTTTCCTCACTTTGCTTTGTCCATAGTATGTATGACTATTACCTCTAAATGTAATAGAGACTCCACAGTTTTAGTTATTGCTGTAGTCGGTCTAAGTTTGCAAATACGTCCAAAATTTGAAGCCGTAACCCTAATTTCTCTTTCTTTTGCCCAAATGTGCCTGTTCCCTAGTATCTAGTTCAATTTGGTCTAAATTCAAAGATAATTTTCTCAAAAAAACCTCTTTGGCTGTCACAAATGTTTCTACATCCATGACAGGATTTTCTAAAAAATATTTAAACCATAATCGCAGTCGGGACCAGCATACGTAAATTTTTTTATAATATATATATTTATATATTTTTAAGAATACTTTGTCTAAGACGTGCTTGTTTTATAGACGAACAATATTTTTTTGTTATTAAACAAGGACCGTTTTAATCACAATATATTTACTTATCCCCTCTAAAAAATTAATGACGTTACCTCAAAATTTTGCTGAATAAATCCTATCTAAATTGTATAAAATATATATTGTAATTTATCATTCCGTTCATATTTTTTGGATTCGGATATACAGGGTGACTCAAAAAATTTAATGAATGCGCAAATTTATTTTATTGATTTAATCAGGAATTACAAAACCGAATGCTTTGAAATCTAATGTGAAGATAAAACATAATAGGCATGCAGTCGTCACGTTTCCGATAGCGAGGGAAGTACTGTCTAAACTCTTTAGACCAATTTTTTTGATTTTCCCATTTCTCCATTTATCAATTTTTCAATGTTTCAGTTTGGGATTTTTTCACTGTTTCGATTCTTTAATTTTCCTTCCATTTTTAGGTTTTTCAATATTTCAGCTTTGGAATTTTGCAATATTTCGTTTCTTCAATTTTTCAAATTTTTGATATTGTGTTTTCTCGGTTTTGAAATTTTTCGATATTTTAATTTTTCAGTTTTTAAAGTTTAAGGTTTTTAGATTTCTCACTATCTCGACTTTTCGATTTTTCACTTCCATTATTTTTCAATTTGTCGAATTTTTAAATTTTAGATTTTTGTTCTCGATCATTCAATTTTCTGAGTTTTCAGGCTTAGATTTTTTTTGTTGTTCAATTCTTGGATTTTTAAAATTTTTGTTTTTTAAATTTTCCTATTTATCAACTTACTGGAATTTCAATGTTTTGATTTTTTGATTGTTCAATTTCTTGATTTTTTGAATTTTTAGTTTTTGATACGATTTTTTTTTCAAAAATTTTCAGTTTTTCAAGTTATTAACTTTGCGATATTTCAGTTTAACGATTTTTAAATTTTTTAATTTTTTTATTTTTCAGTTTTCAATTTTTGACGTTTCTAAATTTTTCGAATAACTGATTTTTTGATTTTCCCATTCTTTATTTCTTGATTTTTTAATTCTTTCTTCAATTGTGATTTTTCAATTTTTCGATTTCTGGATTTTTCAATGTTTCAGTTTTGGATTTTTTCACTTTTCCGATTCTTCAATTTTCTTTCCATTTTTCAGTTTTTCAAGATTTCAGTTTTGAATTTTTTCACTTTTTCTATTTTTCAATTTTCCTTCCATTTTTCAGTTTTTCAGTATTTCAGTTCTGAGATTTTGCAATGTTTCGGTTCTTCAATTTTTCCATTTTTTGATGTTTCGATTTCTCGGTTTTTCAATTTTTCGATAGGTATTTTAATTTTTCAATTTTTAAGTTCTAGATTTTCCGTTAATTTTTTTGTTTTCCTTGATTTCTCGATTATTCGATTTTTCAAGTTCTCGGTTTAGATTTTTTGGTTTTCCAATTCTTCGATTTTTAAATTGTTTAATTTTTAGTTTGTTCAATTTCTCGATTTATAGATTTTTCAATTTTTCGGTTTACCGATTTTTTTCATTTAAAATGTTTCAATTTTTCAGTTATTAAGTTTTCGATTTTTCAATTTTGGTGTAATTTGAAAACGGTATTAATAATACATATAGGCGAATAAACTAATAGACGGGTTTGATAAGCCTTGTTTTCTCTACAGTGTCTAAATTGTGTTTGAATATTAAAATTAATATGTCGAAAGAATACGAGAAATGATTATTCTGCATTATCGGCTTACGATGCTTTTATGACCCACGTCCGGTAGTCGTCTATCTCAGCGCGTCAGGTAGATTTAAAGAAGAATTGCTGGTTGCGTTTAAGGCAACAAATGGTGCCCAATTCAAACTTGTCTCTCGTCTAGCGTCCCCCCTTAAGCAGCATTTCTCAGATGCTTCGGGACATTATTTTTGTCCGTTTGGGTACTTATTGTTGATTGTTGTGTAGGGAACGTGTGGGAGACGCCCCACATCTCGGAGGGTCCATCTCACCGCTACGGCCACTCCACAGTCATCCACGGTAATAAAATTTTCCTCTATGGAGGTGTGTTGGGTAACCGCGGTTACACTTCTGAAGTTTGGGCCTTCAATTTCAAAGCCAAAACGTGGAAAAACATAACAGTAAAAGCAGTGGCGTGTAATTCGAGCGTCCTGATGTGCGGTCCGTTAAAATCGGCCGGTCATACGGCTACGGTCATCGAAAATCCCACTAACCGGAAAGCCGACAGGATGATCGTCCTGTTCGGTCACTCTCCTCACTTGGGGTACTTGAATACGGTGCAGGAGTACTATTTCCGTACTCGCAAATGGCATAGAGTCACCACTAGAGGGTATCCGGTTAAGGGGGGGTATGGTCACACGGCCTCGTACGACTCCCTCACCGGGAAGATATACGTGTATGGAGGAGTGGTGTCGAATAACGAATACCCTCAAGTTTTAAGCAAAAGTCTGTATTCTTATGATCCTAATAGCAGGGTATGGGTTTTGTTGAAGGACGCCCCCTCGGCGCGTTTCTTGCATACGGCGACCTTCATCTCGGGGGGGTTGATGCTGGTCTTCGGCGGTAACACCTTCAGTAACACTTTGCATAGTTCCGGAGCCAAGTGCTACAGTTCGGAGTTCCTGACGTACGACGTGACGTGCGACACTTGGCAGGTGCTCCAGGTACCAAAGGACATTCACGCGGATTTGGCGAGGTTCGGCCACTCGGCGGTCACTTTCGAGGGGTCCTTGTACATTTACGGCGGTTTCGACGGCCAGATGCTGTCCGACATGCTGAAATACACCCCCGGGAGTTGCACCTCGTACATCACCTCCAACGATTGCTTGAGCAAAAAACCGGGGGTGAAGTGCGTCTGGGATATGAGAAACAACTTCTGCACCGCGATCCAAAACATTCCACTCAAGAATCTGACGTCGCAGGCTGATGGTCCCATCATCCGCTGCCCCGAACTCGACCGCACGATGATCACCCAAAGCGTGATCCAGAACGAAGGCAGATGCGAGAAGTTAGAGGATTGTTTGAGTTGCGTTCAAACCACTAGTGAGTGTGTTTGGTGCGGCAGCGCGTGCCTGCATCACAAGAAGTGCACGAACAGTTCGGGGAGCAACATCTCGAAGTTGGAACACTGCCCCATGGATCCAACCCCGATATGCAAACAGCTCCACACTTGTTCCGCTTGCAGTTCACAACCCATTTGCAGGTAAGTTGGCAAACATTCAAGTCTTTCCATGACATGTTATGAACCTAGGTGGCGCTTCCTGCGGGCCAAGTGCCTGCCCAATCCCCTGCCTTCCGACACTACGTGGCCAAACCTGTGTCAAAAAGCCTGTTCCCAACATTCGTCCTGTCTCGACTGTACCCAGGAGGAGTGCATTTGGTGCCAGACCGAGGGCCGCTGCGTCGACAAGAACGCGTACACGGCGAGCTTCCCCTACGGTCAATGCCGCGATTGGACGACGGTCGGCAGCAAGTGCCGGAGTCGCGACAGCGGCGAGAACTCCCAGTGCAGCTTCTACTCGACGTGCACCAAATGCCGCGACGACCCGGCTTGCGGCTGGTGCGACGATGGCTCCAAGACGGGCCTCGGCGAGTGCATGCCCGGAGGGTACACGGGTGCCACCCTCCACACGCACTCGCTGCCGTCGAGGACGTGTCCATCGGATAGGTGGCACTTCACCACGTGCCCCTTGTGCCAGTGCAACGGGCACGCGAGCTGCGTCGCCAACACGAGCACGTGCCTGCCGTGCAGGAACCTGACGACGGGCAACCAGTGTGAGCACTGCGTCAAGGGGTACTGGGGCAACCCGGTCAACGGGGGCAAGTGCCAGCCGTGCGAGTGCAACGGGCAAGCGACGCACTGCCACCCGGAGACGGGCGAGTGCTACTGCACGACGAAGGGGCTGATCGGGGACCACTGCGAGAAGTGCGACGGGACGAACCACTACGTCTCGGATCCAATCAACAAGGAGTCGTGCGTTTGTAAGTATTCAGTATTCGGTCGGATGGAGAGGAGAGGTGGGTAATAGAACTCGTATTTCATAAAAAAACAGTCACCCATTAGTTTCAAGTAGTAGACTTCGGTCATTCCGAGATATATTTGGAAAACGGTGTAGTTGTGGCGAATATTACGGACGTATTGTTACACCTCATCAATGATATAACTATTATAAACTATAACAACCATCGAAATGTTAGCAGCATTGGAAGTGCTATAGCTATCTTTTAGTCAAAAAATATTGCAAAACAATGCACTTTTAGCTTTGTTTTATCAGAAAGAACGGTCTTTGTTGTAGACGACCTCACCATCGACTACCAATTCACTTTCAACTTGTCAAAGAAGGAAGACCGTCATTTCACTCAAATAAATTTCCGAAACAGTCCCATAAAAGCCGACATCGACACGGATTTTTTCATCAAGTGCTCCGTTCTTGCCAAGATGAACATAACGGTACGGAGTCGAAATAACAATGAGGAGAAACTCATCTACGAAGACGTCAATTGTACAACCTTCAAGACCAGATTTCTAAAGTCTGAATATAACTTCGGCGTCGAAGACAACGTGATTCTAACGACTTTCTACGTGTACGTTTACGACCTCCAGCCGCCGCTATGGATACAGATTTCCTTCGCGCAGCCTCCAAAACTGAATCTCCAGAAGCTTTTCATACTAGGGTTGATTCCGCATTAAAAGAATTTTGAAATTTTAAACCAAAGGATCAATGCAATTTTGTTTTGTGAAGATGTCTAATCAAATACTCACTATGTGCCATAAAATTATACAATATCTTTATATATATTTGTTTTATGTTTGTATGAATAAATTGAGGGATTGTCGAACGTTTCTCTTATATTGGTATAAAATGTTAGACAATTTTGTTTTTTTTTGGGAAAATCTTAATGCCTAAGGTAAAAAATCAAGGCGGATTCTTAAGGGGGAATGCTAGACGAGAGACAAGTTTGAATTGGGCGCCATTTGTTGCCTTAAACGCAACCAGCAATTCTTCTTTTAATCTACCTGACGCGCTGGGATAGACGACTACCGGAGGTGGGTCATAAAAGCCTCGTAAGCCGATAATGCAGAATAATGATAATTACTTCAGCACAGAATAATCATTTCTCGTATTCTTTTGACATATTAGTTTTAATATTCGAGATAATTATTATATTATTCAAACACAATTTAGACACTGTAGAGCAAATAAGGCTTATCAAGCCCGCCTATTAGTTTATTCGCCTAAATGTATTATTAATACCGTTTTCAAATTACACCAAAATTGAAAAATCGAAAACTTAATAATTGAAAAATTGAAACATTTTAAATGAAAAAAATCGGTAAACCGAAAAATTTAAAAATCTATAAATCGAGAAATTGAACAATCTAAAAATTAAACAATTTAAAAATCGAGAAATCAAAACATCAAGGAAAACAATAAAATTAACGGAAAGAAACATTGCAAAATCTCAGAACTGAAATACTGAAAAACTGAAAAATGGAAGGAAAATTGAAAAATCGAAAAAGTGAAAAAATTCAAAACTGAAATCTTGAAAAACTGAAAAATGGAAAGAAAATTGAAGAATCGAAAAAGTGAAAAAATCCAAAACTGAAATATTGAAAAATTCAGAAATCGAAAAATTGAAAAATCACAATTGAAGAAAGAATTGAAAAATCAAGAAATAGAGAAATGGGAAAATCAAAAAATCAGTTAATCGAAAAATTGAAAAATCGAAAAATTTAGAAACGTCAAAAATTGAAAACTGAAGAATAAAAAAATTTAAAAATCGGAAAACTGAAATATCGTAAAGTTAATTGAAAATTTTTGAAAAAAAAATCGTATCAAAAACTAAAAATTCAAAAAATCGAGAAATTGAACAATCAAAAAATCAAAACATTGAAATCCCAGTAAGTTGATAAATAGGAAAATTTAAAAAACAAAAATTTTAAAAATCCAAGAATTGAACAACAAAAAAAATCTAAGTCTGAAATCTCAGAAAATTGAATGATCGAGAACAAAAAATCTAAAATTTAAAAATTCGACAAATTGAAAAATCATGGAACTGAAAAATCGAAAAGTCGAGATAGTGAGAAATCTAAAAACCTAAAACTTTAAAAACTGAAAAATTAAAATATCGAAACATTTAAAAACCGAGAAAACACAATATCAAAAATTTGAAAAATTGAAGAAACGAAATATTGCAAAATTCCAAAGCTGAAATATTGAAAAACCTAAAAATGGAAGGAAAATTAAAGAATCGAAACAGTGAAAAAATCCCAAACTGAAACATTGAAAAATTGAGAAATAAAAAAATAAAATAAATTTGCGCATTCATTAAATTTTTTGAGTCACCCTGTATATCCGAATCCAAACAATATGAATGGAATGATAAATTACAAGAAGAGACTCATTATATTTTGTAAACTTTAAATAGGATTATACGGCAAACTTTTGAGCTGACGTCATCAATTGTTTTGAGGGGATAAGCAAATATATTTTGACTAAAAATTTATTATGCTCTTTATAACCTTAAAACATTTGCAAGATTTCAAAGCATTGGGTTCTGTAGTTCCTAATTAAATCAATAAAATAAATTTACGCATTCATTAATTTTTGGGGTCATTCTGTATATGCAAATCCAAAAAACATGAATGGAATGATAAATCACAAGAAGAGACTCATCATATTTTATACAATTTAGATAGGATTTATTCAGAAAAATTTTGAGGTGACGTCATCCATTTTTTAGAGGGGATAAGTAAATATATTGTGATTAAAACGGTCTTGGTTTAATAACAAAAAAATATTGTTCGTCTATAAAACAAGCTCGTCTTAGACAAAGTATTCGTAAAAAAATAAGTCGTAAAAAAATTTGCGTATGCTGGTTCCGACTGCGATTATGGTTTAAATATTTTTTAGAAAATCCTGTCATGGATGTAAAAACATTTGTGACAGCCAAAGAGGTTTTTTTGAGAAAATTATCTTTGAATTTAGACCAAATTGAAATAGACACTAGGCAACAGGCACATTTGGGCAAAAGAAAGAGAAATTAGGGTTACGGCTTCAAATTTTGGACGTATTTACAAACTTAGACCGACTACAGCAATAGCTAAAACTGTGGAGTCTCTGTTGTACAGAGGTAATAGTCATACATACTATGGACAGCAAAGTGAGAAAAAAGCTGTCAAGTGTTTTGAAATAAATAAAAATATAAAAACTGAACGGTGTGGCTTGTTTATTTCAAAACAATTTCCTTACTTGGCTGCTAGTCCAGGCAGGGTTCTAGAGGATAGGAGTGCATTAGTCGAAATTAAATGCCCTTCAAAATCGCAAGATTTGTCTCCCGAAGAAGCGGTTAGAAAAAAAATAATCAAATTTTGTACATTGACAGTGAGAGAATTGAAACTAAAAAAAGAATCATGATTACTACTTTCAAATCCAGGGACAAATGCTTGTTACGGGTATTTCACAAGTTTATTTTGTTGTATGGACACTCAAAGGAATAAATATAGAAAAAATTTATATAGACGAAGAAATATATGTAAATAGATGGCAGATAAACTTCGCAGATTTTGCTTTGGCGCTTTATTGCCCGAAATAATTGATTCAAGAAGAAAGAGGAACCTGCATTTGCGAGAGATTTTTTTTAAATAAATAAAATTTGTTTCTATTTTTTTATGTACTTTAATAATTTGTTAGGAGTACATTTTTCATCACCAAGACTTGCATATTTTTATTATAAATATATTTTGAAAATGATCTCTCGACAAATGGAAACATATACGAGCACTTTTTTTGAGTAAACAATGAAGGGAGAAGTTACTGGGCGTAGGGCTTTTTTAAAACACCTCCTTTCTGGGATAAGTAGTAGATACACTTAGCTACTTATACGTGTTAAACAAAAGCTGTATTTTATATATTTTTTATTATTATTATAAATATGTTTATTAGTTTTATTAATTAAGAAAGCAAAATATATATTAATAATAATATTACAATGAATTTTTAGTAATCATGTGTATTGAATTCAGGATCCTGAGTGGAGTAAAAATATTATAGTTCCCCAGTTTTAATTCGGTTTTGTGATAGTACCTCATTGCGTAAAAGTTAATTTCCTTAACAATAGATTACTACGGCCGGTCCTGGCGGCTTGTTATAAAACTGAGTTCCTTGCCATAAATTAGAAAAATCAGCCGAGAACTCTAACAATTAGCTTATGGTAAAGCAGGCGATAAGGGTTTTACCTGGAAAGTCGCTTCCGTAAATTTTAGTGGCGCTCCTATCGGCAAAGTACTGAACTAACTGCTCAAATTCTGTCGAATTGATACCCATTTTTTTCAATAATTGTTAGTTTTTGTTAAAACCTCTGCTAACCAATAGATCATTAATTTTCGTCTGATATTCCTGTTAAAATTATTCGACGTATTTTGCATTAATTTGTGGTATATTTTGATTTTAATGAACACATTATTATTTAAACAAATTGTACCACTAACAAACATTTAATGACTCTGCGCCCTGTAAAAAGTGATGTTTTATCCATGTGCGAATTTTCAAGCGATTCTATGATGGTTATGACTCAAAAAACTTGAAAAGAAAACATACAATGGTGCCTTTTTTACGATATTTCTCAGCCATATTTTTTTAGTTGATTGAACTGGTCTCTGGGCTCTAGAATATGAAAAAAGCTGCAGTTTGATGTATGATACATCTATATTAATATCATTTTTTCGTACAAAAAACCAAAAAAATATTATACCTCGTCTAGCGAGTCCCTTAAACCGGAAATGCAGGAGTATATTGTTTTACAAAATCTAAGTAGCATTTACCGTGCAAATTGTTTACACAATATTACTAAAATATCTATAAAATTTGACTACAACCAATCTAGCAGATTGTCAAAATGTGTGGACTTATTTATGATATCGACTTTCCACTAGAGATAGCAGATATCATTTCAACTGAAATAAATTACCTTATTATATATACTTATTATTACCGTTTATATTGCTCTGATTAAGTACTAATAATAGTTGCTTTACTGATTTCGACCTTTTGAAATAAAAATAGATAAAACCATAATTAAATTCGATGAAACTTTCTTGAAAGTAAAATTCGGTCACCAGCCGGCGACTTGGCAACAGTGGTCGTTGATCACTTAGCAAGCACTTATCACTTGCGAGGGGATAGTCAAGTTTGCGTAAAATCAGTCACTTTGCCGTTCCCCTTTGTGACACCTGTGGCCAGTACGCCCCTGTCTCCTCGTCAAGCCGAATCTAGTGACCTGCTAGTGACTTCCACTCTTCGCTTCTTTCTCTTTAAGTTGGCTGCGCTGCCGCCAGTGACATTTCATCTGTTATGTAGAAAACGTCAAGAAATATGGAAAATAAAGTTCGTCGAGCACCCAGTCTTCATGTAATCAAAATAAACAGTGAAACGAAGGAATTCTCAACATCCCACTGACGTCAAGCACACCGAATCGCCAGCAACAGTCAAAACCGAGTTCCATTAAAATTTACCGTTTTGTTTTGACGTCGACGTAATGCAACTGTAAAGTAGTGGATAATGGTGGTAATAAGAAAATGTTAGAGATTTTGCAAATGTTTTTGTTCTTGTTCAAGTCGAAGTATCGGCGAAAATGTTATCTCTGGCAGGTTGTGTGTTGTGCAGTTCTGGTATTGAGTGTGTGCTCGATGGCTCGAGCTAAATGTGTCGACCCAAGTTGTAATGGCAATGGGGTGTGCAAAAATGATACTTGCGTGTGTTACGACGGATGGCAGGGGCCCCAATGTCAGTTCTGCGGAGGGAAAGTGCGGTAAGAAAAGTAGGAACGTAAGAACTGGGTTCGGAACATCATACACACATTGTGTAGCTTATCAACAATGTGATGATAACATCTCCACAATGATCATTTAGAGTGTGCATAGTTAGTTAATGATTGGGTTTAAATTTTAAGTGGTCACTTTACTAACTTACTGTAAGTGAGACTCGATAGTAGATTTATCTTATCAGCACAGATTGTTTGTTTGTTCCATTTAAAATGCAGAAAATGTTGGTTGTGACGCGATTGCTTGCAGAAATTACCAGCTGCGACTAGTTTTTTTTCAACAAATAAACTTGCTAGGGTTTGAAAAAAGTCCACAAAATGTTGTTTGTAATCCTGGAGTGCAGAGTTTTATTTGATTATTTACATAGACCTTGGGGAAAATTATGTGCGCATTTTAAATTCAATGGCATTGCTGAACACTTGCCGTTTTATATAGTTTATGTAGCTATTTTTAACTACTTATCGCTATTTTCGTTTTAATTAAATTGGGTAAGAGTTGCTGGAATTAAAACTTTCACCGTCATGCATTTGAGCATGGACAAAGCAGATGCAATCTGATCTTGTGCAAGGTTATACTGGTGCAAGAGCAGGACCGGCTTGGATTTTTTCCGAGTGAAATACCTGGGAGAAAGTCGAGAGTTTAATTAAATTAGTCAGTGAATTACTTGCATTGTTTTTCGCTTTATTACACCTGCAATACTTTGTGAGAGTATTTTTTACCGCCACAATTGCAAATTTTGTCTCATCATCCCCGCCAACAATTTGATGACGTCATCTCAAATTTTTGCTAAGTAATTAATTCTTATACAAAACTCAAAATCTTGCCACGTGTTCCACCCTAGATTTTGCATTGTAGTTTTTTATTTGGTTTTTTGTTTTTCTGCGTATTTACGTCATAACTAATACTGTGTTTTATCTACGCTATTCAGTAATGGAAATAAATATTTGTCGACAGCTTTTCTTTTAAGTGAGATAACTACTATCGACTTTGAGATAAAGGTGAAACCTTTCATAATACTGTTAAAAGCGATAAAAATTCTAAGAATACGATGTACAATTTTTTCTCTGAATTCTTCCAGTTATTTACAAAGAAGCATTGTTAATGGTTTCATATAATAATTTTGTACTCTTCAAATGTAATAAAATAATCTCATTGTTTGCTAGTCGTGATTTTTTAACTGCGACAATAACCTCCGAAACTACTGAACAACATTTACCAGTATACCGCTATTTTCAACTAAAAAATAAGTTTGACTACCAATTTTTGAAGTTTATCATACTTATATGACATGACAAAGCATAATTAGCATAGAAATCTTCACACTTGAAGTCGAAAAATTCCGGTGACCCCATAAAGATTCAAGAATGAAAGTACAGATGTAAATTTTTGAATGTGGTATCTGTCGTACCGCTAATTGCTTATCTAAACAAAGTCTACAAAAACTTTCCTGAATGTGTTTAATACCTTTCTTGCAAGACCGAAACCGTTCAATGAACCCAAGCAAATACTACTAAGGCGATAGGAACATTTTAAAAAGTTAAATTTTGTAACAAATTGTTAATCCGTTTACTAAATTTTATTATTGTGTTTGTAAAACGTACGTGTAAACAAATTGGAAATATCGTCAATATTTAATGATTAATAAACTAATTTTCATTACGTCGCCGTTCATTTTTCCAGCCTCGGCACCTCAACCGGCACCATCCACGACGGCTTGGGTAACTACTCCCTCAGCGTCAAATGCAGCTGGTTGATCGACGCCCCCAACACCTCCATCACCCTCCACCTCGAGGAGTTCGCGACGGAATGCGGCTGGGACCACTTGTACATCTTCGACGGCGACAGCGTGGACTCGCCTCTTTTGGCCGTCTTCAGCGGCCTCATGTACAAGAGCGACTACAGCATCCGGCGCATCCCCGAGATCGTGGCGTACTCCGGCTCCGCCTTGGTGCACTTCTTCAGCGACGACGCCTTCAACATGTCGGGCTTTAACATGACCTACCGCTTGAACGCCTGCCCCTCGAAGGTGTCGGGGGTGGACTGCAGCGGCAACGGCATCTGCATCGACGAAGTGTGCACTTGCTACGGCGGCTGGACGGGGGCGGCGTGCCACCTGCAGGAGTGCCCCGATAACTGCGGCAACCACAAGGGCAGGGGGCACTGCGAGCCGGAGTTCGGGTGCCGGTGCGAGAGCGAGTACAAGGGGGACGATTGCAGCCAGTACGCCCCGAGCGGGTACTGGGAGACGGTGAAAGTGGAGAGCTTCGTGCCGCCGGGGTCGGCGTCGCACGGGGCGGCGGTCTGGAGGGACTCGATGTATTTAATCGCCGGGGAGAGCTACATTAGGAGGTTCATGGTTTATGTATACGATTTTAATGGTAAGTGGGTCGGGCTCGAAACTTCGAGGAAAGTTTGAGGTGTACAGTGACGAGCTAAAATGGTAGTCGCTGCCGGCGGACTACCGAAAGTACCCGAACTGATTGAGAAAGGCTGGGGTTCTTTTAGTAACTTCAGGACTGAAAATGTCGAACAAAAAATTGTAGTTAATAAAAGGTTACTTAGTGCAATAAATTAACGTTTGATATTGTTACGATGATCGGTGATTTAAAATCGGCGTGGGTAAAACTCAACAATTTATTTAAACAGCTCGCGATCCTTCTCGAAAGGTCGCCGTCACCGTTTCTAGGTTTGTTCTGGAGCACCCATCGCGACTTCCGCTTCCAGGCTTTTCTTTAGCGAACGCTGTCCGACCGCCGTCACCGACGATGAGTCACCTAACATCCCCGCACATACTAGAAAACCCATAGGCGTCGTACCGGGGCACCGTATGGGTTTTTTTCATAACAATATTCTGTTTATCCAGCACGTTTTAATTTTTTCACTCAACTTTGATATGCGAGCAATAATAATAAACGTGATATTTTTTATTACAAAACTTAATTGCAGCCAGGCGTATGGGTTTATTTTCGTAACAATATTATTATTTTTTATTAAAAAACTTATTAGGAATATTGAAGTAATTAGTGCAATAATTAATTGCAGCCAGAAAGTTTAAACAACACCGCCTTTCTTGAACGCTTCGGGACATTATTTTTGTCCGTTTGGGTACTTATTGTTGTGTTGTTGTGTAGGGAACGTGTGGGAGACGCCCCACATCTCGGAGGGTCCATCTCACCGCTACGGCCACTCCACAGTAATCTACGGTGATAAAATTTTCCTCTATGGAGGTGTGTTGGGTAACCGCGGTCCCACTTCTGAAGTTTGGGCCTTCGATATCAATGCCAAAACGTGGGAAAACATAACAGTGAAAGCAGTGGCGTGTAATTCGAGCGTCCTGATGTGCGGTCCGTTAAAATCTGCCGGTCATACGGCTACGGTCATCGAAAATCCCACTAACCGGAAAGCCGACAGGATGATCGTCCTGTTCGGTCACTCTCCTCACTTGGGGTACTTGAATACGGTGCAGGAGTACTATTTCGGTACTCGCGAGTGGCATATAGTCACCACTAGGGGGTATCCGGTTAAGGGGGGGTACGGTCACACGGCCTCGTGGGACTCCCTCACCGGGAAGATATACGTGTATGGGGGAGTGGTGTCGGAGAACGAATCCGCTCAAGTTTTGAGCAAAAGTCTGTATTCTTATGATCCAAATAGCAGGGTATGGATTTTGTTGAAGGACGCCCCTTCGGCGCGTTTCTTGCATACGGCGACCTTCATCTCGGGGGGGTTGATGCTGGTCTTCGGCGGCAACACCCACAATGACACTTTGCACAGTTACGGAGCCAAGTGTTACAGTTCGGAGTTCCTGGCGTACGACGTGACGTGCGACACTTGGCAGGTGCTCCAGGTGCCAAAGGACATTCACGCGGATTTGGCGAGGTTCGGCCACTCGGCGGTCACTTTCGAGGGGTCCTTGTACATTTACGGCGGTTTCGACGGGCAGATGCTGTCCGACATGCTGAAATACACCCCCGGGAGTTGCACTTCGTACATCACCTCCAACGATTGCTTGAGCAAAAAACCGGGGGTGAAGTGCGTCTGGGATATGAGAAGCAACTTCTGCACCGCGATCCAAAACATTCCACCTAAGAACTTGACGTCGCAGGCTGACGGCCTCATCATCCGCTGCCCCGAACTCAACCGCACGATGATCACCCAAAGCGTGATCCAGAACGAGGGCAGATGCGAGAAGTTGGAGGATTGTTTGAGTTGCGTTCAAACGACTAGTGAGTGTGTTTGGTGCGGCAGCGCGTGCATGCATAACAAGAAGTGCAGGAACAGTTCAGAGAGCAACATCTCGAAGTTGGAACACTGTCCCCTGGATCCAACCCCGATATGTAAACAGCTCCACACTTGTTCCGCTTGCACTTCACAACCCTTCTGCAGGTAAGTTGGCCGAACTTTCAGCAAACACCCCGGTCTCTATACTGTGTTTACCGAACAGATGGAGTTGTAAAAGTGCGTTGTTATTGTTATTGTAGGTGGCGCTTCGAGCACGCCAAGTGCGTCACCCACCCCTTGCCTTCCAACACCACCGCGACCGCCGCGGAGCCAATCCAGTGTCAAAAAGTCTGTTCCGAATACTCGTCGTGTCTCAACTGTACCCAGGAGGAGTGCATTTGGTGCCAGAACGAGGGCCGCTGCGTCGACAAGAACGCGTACACGGCGAGCTTCCCCTACGGTCAATGCCGCGAGTGGACGACGGTCGGCAGCAAGTGCCGGAGTCGCGACAGCGGCGAGAACTCCCAGTGCAGCTTCTACTCGACGTGCGCCAAGTGCCGCGACGACCCGGCTTGCGGCTGGTGCGACGACGGTTCCAAGACGGGCCTCGGCGAGTGCATGCCCGGAGGGTACGCGGGTCCCACCCTCCACACGCACTCGCTGCCGTCGAGCACGTGCCCGTCGGACAGGTGGCACTTCACCACGTGTCCCCTGTGCCAGTGCAACGGGCACGCGAGCTGCGTCGCCAACACGAGCACGTGCCTGCCGTGCAGGAACCTGACGACGGGCAACCAGTGCGAGCACTGCGTCAAGGGGTACTGGGGCAACCCGGTCAACGGGGGCAAGTGCCAGCCGTGCGAATGCAACGGGCAAGCGACGCACTGCCACCCGGAGACGGGCAAGTGCTACTGCACGACGAAGGGGCTGATCGGGGACCACTGCGAGAAGTGCGACGCGACGAACCACTACAACTCGGATCCGATCAACAAGGAGTCGTGCTATTGTAAGTATGCACTATTCGGTCGGATGGAGAGGAGAAGTCGGTAATAGAACTCGTATTTCACAAAAAAACAGTCACCCATTAGTTTCAACATTGTTTAAATATGTTATAGTTGGACAACCTAATACAAATTTTACTTCGCCTAAATAGTGAGCTTTAGGACAAGAAATCCAGGGGGCGTGGGGCAAATTTTTCGTCAACGCGCATTTTCACTACAGTGAGCGAACGTATTAGGTTTATTTTACTCTACTTCAGATGGCGCCATCAAACATTAGCAAAGGCAAACACCCTTCACTCTGCTCTTATACGAGGAGTTATCCATAAATCCATAATTAACATTGTTCCGTAAGGAGTAATGTATATAGACATATATGTACAAAATATGAAAATATACTTGACATAAAAAATACGAAGCAACGCGTTGTAACATGATACGAAAGAATTGTATTTAAATGAATTTGACGCCTATTTTTATTTGACTATATCTGAAGACTGACAGAAACTTTCCAAGGGTTTTTAAACTGGTATAATTGTTTAGTTTTACGAGATTTAGTAAAATTTTGAAAATATTAACACAAAATGAAAATATATATTCAAAGTAAATAATAGAATGACATAAACTTTCGGCGTTGACATTACAAATAATTACAAGACAGAAAAAAAACGCATGTTTGTAATATCGGGTTGTTAAAGGTTGCTTTGAAGACTGTTTGTTTCTATGAAAAACAATTGATGAAATCCGACGTTTTGGTAGATTTTGTTCCAAAAATACGAGATAACTAATTGTTTCTAGTTGAATTAGTTTCCGCAACTTTTAAAATTTAAAAAGGATGCGCCATTCTGCTGTAATAAAATCTAGAATAAGGTCAAAATCACACTAATATTACATCTGATTTGTCAACCACATGAATATAATTTACATTAAAATAAGTTACAGACATTGTTTGAAATGTTTACTATATTTCGAAAACAAGATAAATAAGTAAATAAATAAAATATGCAGTTTATAAACTTTAGAATTTTAGTATAAAAGTAATCATGTTTGAAGCTTTATTTTGTCTATTCCATTTTATTGGGTGTACTCTGTACTGGGCCCCTCTCGGGATATAACACCGACATCAGTGCACCGACCCAACGTTCTTTAACCGATGGGATGATTTATTACTTCCGTTATGCTAGCCCTACACACAGCGATCTGGTTTTCGAATTTTCGGCTAGATCTGCACAGTTAACTCTTTGCGCACTGCACACTGACACAGATACAGAGTATTTTGTTCACGCCAGCATCAAAAATACTTCTCCGAAAGCACTTCTTCAAGTGTTAATTTTTTTAAGATGTAATACTTGTCAGCGTTTCCAAAATTTTCCTCTGCACAGGTCAACTAATTTTTCGTAAATCGCATTTTAAAATTTTTGTTATTGTATTTTTTACTTTTTAATTTTCTAAGGCATGAAAAAATCCCATATAGGTTTCTATGAATTTATTAACGAAATTAACTGATAACTTGCGCGCCATTTTGTGTTAATTAATATCAATAGTGATTATGATAATTTTAATCCATCTGAATGAAAATCCATTTCTCCCAAATATTTTAGACCGATATAAATTTATTACTTTCTTGGCACGATTTGTAATCCGAAGTCTCCCTCCACATGCAATTTTTCGTCGCCTGAGAACTTGTTTGATCTACAGACCAAACCACACTCAGGCCAATATCGGCTTTAAGCGATTTATTTATAAGTCGACATTCGTTAGAGTTGATCTGATACACATCCACTACGAAGAACTAACCCGTTTCGACCATTGGACTTTACAACGAATAAGTGAACACATTTCTTGAACATCTTAACGATTTAATACATAATGTTTCCGAATGACAAAATTTACATTTCAAATTGTATTATCAAATGGTAAAACACTCACCAAAATTTGTCACCAACAATGAAATGACGCAATCTCCAAATTTTACAATACTATATTACGTTTACGGTTTATGCATCCGTGTTGAGTTTTCACCTTGGACGTCAAGATTTTTGGAAAAAAATGAACATTTTCCAATTTATAATGTTATTTAAATTTAAAAAAATAGCATAGTCCTGATCTTGTGATTTATAAATACGCTATTGAGCCTTTTCGGCTTTTCGATTTCTCGATTTTTCAACTTTAAATGTCTCGATTTTTTAATATTTCAATTTTGGGCTTTTCCAATTCTTCCATTCTTCAAATTTTCCATTTCCCGATTTTTGCTTTTTGGATTTTCAATTTATTGTTAAACTTTAGATTTTTCAATTCTTCGACTGTTTTATACTTCGATTTTTTTTCGATGTTTTAATATTTCAATTTTTCAAATTTTTTCATTTTAATTTTCGATTTTCCAGTTTTTCTTTTTTAAAATTTTCCGATTATTGAATTTTTACATTTCTCAATTTATCGAATTCAGATGTTTCGTTGTTTGTTCAGTCTCTCAATTTATCAATTTTTCAATTTTTAACTTTCCTTTTCGACTTACGACTCCTCAATTTCTCGATCCTTCGATTTTTCGATTTCTCGATGTCTCAGTTTTTCAATTTTTTGATGTTTCGATTTTTGGATTTCTCGGTTTCTCGATTTTTTTCTTTTGAGCTTCTCAATTTCTGGATTTTCCAATTTTTTAATGTTCCGATTTTTCAATTTTTCAATTTTTTAAATTGAATTGGATTTCTCGATTCTTCAATTTTGCAATATTTTAATTGTTCAATGTTTTAAATCTTAGATTTTTCGATTTCTCGATTTTTTGACTTCTCAGTTCTTCAGTATTTAAATTTTTCAATGAAAAAATTTTGACGTTAAAATTTCAGTTTTCTGATTTCTCAATTAATCTATTTTTGATTTTCCCACTTCTCAAAGTTTCGATTTTTCAGTTCTTCAATTCTTCAATTTTTCGACTTCGCTTTATTGGTTTTTCGATTTCTCAATTTTTGGATATTTCTTTCAGTTTTGATATTTTTAAATACTTCGATTCTTTAATTTTTCAACCTCTAGATTTTTCGATCTTTTATTTTCGGATTATCAGTTTTTCGTTTTTTATGCATTAAATTTTTCAACTTTTCGATTGTTTTGTATTTCAATTTCTCAATTTTTCAACTTTTCCATATTTTAATTTTTAAATTTCTAGATTTTTCGGTTTCTCGATTTTTCAGTTCTTCAATTCTTTAATTTTTCGATTATTCAGGTTTTTGATTTTTCAATTTTTCGATTTTTTAAATTTGCGATTTTTCGACTCTGCTTTTTTGACTTTTCTGTTTCTCAATTTTTTAATTTCCTAATTTTTGGATATTTCGTTCAATTTTGTGATTTTTCAGTTTTTCCATTTTTTGAGTTTTCAGTTCTTCTATATTTCAATTTTTCAATTTTCGGAATATTTAAATTTTCGATTGTCCAATTGTTTTTTATTTTTCGATTTTCCAATTGTTCGATGTTTCGATTTTTGAATTAACCGATTGTTCAATTTCTGGATTTTAAAATTTTTGACTTTCCAATTTTTATTTTTTTGATTTTTTATGTTTCGATTTCTCGATTTTACAATTTTCCCATATTTGAATTTTTCAATGTTTTAAATTTTCGATTTCGAGAATTTACTGTGTCACCCACCCTTATTTTCTTAAAAGATATGTCATTTGCAAAAATCAGTCTCATACTTGCTTAGTTAAAAAATCGAAAAATGACAAATCGTGAAAAGGAAAAATTTTAACTTGAGAACTTGACAAAATTAAAAATCAAAAATTCATTCCAAAATTGTAAAGTTAAAACTTGAAACATCAAAAGATTGGAATTAAATCTGGAAAATTGTCAAACAAATTAGCAAATGAAATATTTAAAAGTTGAAAAATCTAAAAACTAAAAAAAAAATAAAACTGGAATTTCGAATTCGATTTTATAAGTTTTGTTTTTTTTTAATTTGTCATTTTTAGATTTTTAAGTTTTTTTATTTTTAGCAGGTACTAGCCCCACTCATCCAGCCTTTATTTTCTTAGAAAAATAAGTCATCTGCCAAAATCAGTCTCATCTTGACAAGTACTACCCCGCCCACCCACCCTTTATTTTCTTAGAAGAATGGGTCATCTGCCAAAATCAGTTTTATCTTGACAAGTACTAGCCCCGCCCACTCACCCTTATTTTCTTAGAAGATATGTCATCTGCAAAAATCAGTCTCATACTTGCTTAGTTAAAAAATCGAAAAATGACAAATCGTGAAAAGGAAAAATTTTAACTTGAGAATTTGAAAAATTAAAAATCAAAAAATTCCAAAATTGTAAAGTTAAAACTTGAAACATCAAAAAATTGGAATTAAAAACTAGAAAATTCTCAAACAAATTATCAAATGAAATATTTAAAAGTTGAAAAATCTAAAAACTAAAAAAAAAAATTAAAACTGGAATTTCGAATTCGATTTTATAAGATTTGTTTTTTTTTCAATTTGTCATTTTTAGATTTTTAAGTTTTTTTATTTTTAGCAAGTACTAGCCCCACCCATCCAGCCTTTATTTTCTTCGAAGAATAAGTCATATGGAAAAATCAGTCTCATACTTGCTTAGTTAAAACATCGAAAAATGACAAATCGTGAAAAGGAAAAATTTTTACTTGAGAACTTGAAAAATTATAAATCAAAAAATGCTAAAATTGTAAAGTTAAAACTGGAAACATCAAAAGATTGGAATTAAAAACAGGAAAATTGTCAAACAAATTATCAAATGAAATTTTTAAAAGTTGAAAAATCTAGAAATTAAAAAAAAAATTAAAACTGGAATTTTGAATTTGATTTTATAAGATTTGTTTTTTTCAATTTGTCATTTTTAGATTTTTAATTTTTTTTTTATGTTTAACAAGTACTAGCCCCACCCATCCAGCCTTTATTTTCTTAGAAGAATAAGTCATCTGCCAAAATCAGTCTCATCTTGACAAGTACTACCCCGCCCACCCACCCATTATTTTCTTAGAAGAGTTGGTCATCTGCCAAAATCCGTCTTATTTTAACAAATACTAGCCTCGCCCACCCACCCTTATTTTCTTAGAGGATATGTCATTTGCAAAAATCGGTCTCATACTTGCTTAGTAAAAAATCGAAAAATGACAAATCGTGAAAAGGAAAAATTTTAACTTGAGAATTTGAAAAATTAAAAATCAAAAAATTCCAAAATTGTAAAGTTAAAACTTGAAACATCAAAAGATTGGAATTAAATCTGGAAAATTGTCAAACCAATTATCGAATGAAATATTTAAAAGTTGAAAAACCTAAAAACTAAAAAAAAAAATTAAAACTGGAATTTCAAATTCGATTTTATAAGATTTGTTTTTTTTTCAATTTTTCAATTTGTCATTTTTAGATTTTTAAGTTTTTTTATTTTTAGCAAGTACTAGCCCACCCACCCAGCCTTTATTTTCTTAGAAGAATAAGTCATCTGCCAAAATCAGTCTCATCTTGACCAGTACTACCCCGCCCACCCACCCTTTATTTTCTTAGAAGAGTGGGTCATCTGCCAAAATCAGTTATATCTTGACAAGTACTAGCCCCGCCCACCCACCCTTATTTTCTTAGAAGATATGTCATTTGCAAAAATCGGTCTCATACTTGCTTAGTTAAAAAATCGAAAAATGACAAATCGTGAAAAGGAAAAATTTTAACTTGACAACTTCAAAAATTAAAAATGAAAAAATTCCAAAATTGTAAAGTTAAAAGTTGAAACATCAAAAGATTGGAATTAAATCTGGAAAATTGTCAAACAAATTATCAAATGAAATATTTAAAATTTGAAAAATCTAAAAACTAAAAAAAAAAATTAAAACTGGAATTTCGAATTCGATTTTATAAGATTTGTTTTTTTTTTCAATTTTTCAATTTGTCATTTTTAGATTTTTAAGTTTTTTTATTTTTAGCAAGTACTAGCCCACCCACCCAGCCTTTATTTTCTTAGAAGAATAAGTCATCTGCCAAAATCAGTCTCATCTTGACCAGTACTACCCCGCCCACCCACCCTTTATTTTCTTAGAAGAGTGGGTCATCTGCCAAAACCAGTTTTATCTTGACAAACACTAGCCCCGCCCACCCACCCTTATTTTCTTAGAAGATATGTCATCTGCAAAAATCAGTCTCATACTTGCTTAGTTAAAAAATCGAAAAATGACAAATCGTGAAAAGGAAAAATTTTAACTTGAGAACTTGAAAACTTAAAAATCAAAAAATTCCAAAATTGAAAAGTTAAAACTTGAAACATCAAAAGATTGGAATTAAATCTGGAAAATTGTCAAACCAATTATCGAATGAAATATTTAAAAGTTGAAAAACCTAAAAACTAAAAAAAAAAAAATTAAAACTGGAATTTCAAATTCGATTTTATAAGATTTGTTTTTTTTTCAATTTTTCAATTTGTCATTTTTAGATTTTTAAGTTTTTTTATTTTTAGCAAGTACTAGCCCACCCACCCAGCCTTTATTTTCTTAGAAGAATAAGTCATCTGCCAAAATCAGTCTCCTCTTGACAAGTACTACCCCGCCCACCCACCCTTTATTTTCATAGAAGAGTGGGTCATCTGCCAAAATCAGTTTTATCTTGACAAGTACTAGCCCCGCCCACTCACCCTTATTTTCTTAGAAGATATGTCATCTGCAAAAATCAGTCTCATACTTGCTTAGTTAAAAAATCGAAAAATGACAAATCGTGAAAAGGAAAAATTTTAACTTGAGAATTTGAAAAATTAAAAATCAAAAAATTCCAAAATTGTAAAGTTAAAACTTGAAACATCAAAAGATTGGAATTAAATCTGGAAAATTGTCAAACCAATTATCGAATGAAATATTTAAAAGTTGAAAAACCTAAAAACTAAAAAAAAAAATTAAAACTGGAATTTCAAATTCGATTTTATAAGATTTGTTTTTTTTTCAATTTTTCAATTTGTCATTTTTAGATTTTTAAGTTTTTTTATTTTTAGCAAGTACTAGCCCACCCACCCAGCCTTTATTTTCTTAGAAGAATAAGTCATCTGCCAAAATCAGTCTCATCTTGACCAGTACTACCCCGCCCACCCACCCTTTATTTTCTTAAAAGAGTGGGTCATCTGCTAAAATCAGTTTTATCTTGACGAGTACTAGCCCCGCCCACCCACCCTTATTTTCTTAGAAGATATGTCATTTGCAAAAATCGGTCTCATACTTGCTTAGTTAAAACATCGAAAAATGACAAATCGTGCGTTCAAATGCCTACATACTGATAAGCACGTACATACAAGACGCATTTAAGGCTGTTCTAAGTCTGCTACATTTAATTTTTGCGATTTTAAATTTATTTCTTGATGTCTAATAAATCGTATATATTTAAATGGTGGTAAATATTTTGTGATAAAATGCATTTTAGTTTCAAAGATAATATGTATTTAGTGATTTGACTACTGTTAATAAAAAAAATACGTAAGATGTTAATAATATTAAATTTTTGTTACCTTAACCTTTATTTGTTTCTGTGCAAACATACGTGCTACCACACACATGAAACAGGCATGCACTACATATAAATATATTGCATATATGTAAAGTCTACCTTATCGACATCACGTGCTTACAGACTATTTTTACCTCCTTTCGTAAGGTACCGCCACTTCACAGTGAAGCGAGTGAGATGTAAAACATATGTTCATTCTTTTCTACACGGGAAAGTGATTCTCCGTATAGGTTGTCCAACTATAATATACTTAAGCAATGGTTTCAAGTTGTGGCGAATATTACGGACGTATTGTTCCACGTTGCATTGGTGTAATGTGAGTTGGAGTTCCTCAAGGAGTCGTGCTGTGAGCCACACGTTTTATCATTTTCATCAATGATATAACTATTATAAACTATAACAACTATCGAAATGTTAGCAGCATTGGAAGTGCTATAGCTATCATTTAGTCAAAATATATTGCAAAGCAATGCACTTTTAGCTTTGTTTTATCAGAAAGAACGGTCTTTGTTGTAGACGACCTCACCATCGACTACCAATTCACTTTCAACTTGTCAAAGAAGGAAGACCGCCATTTCACCCAAATCAATTTCCGAAACGCTCCCATAAAAGCCGACATCGACGCGGATTTTTCCATCCAGTGCTCCGTTCTTGCCAAGATGAACATAACGATACGAAGTCGAAATAACAAAGAGGAGAAACCCATCTATGAAGACTTCAATTGTACAACGTTCAAGACCAAATTTCCAAAGTCTGAATATAACTTCGGCGTCGAAGACAACGTGACTCTAACGACTTTCTACGTCTACGTCTACGACTTCCAGCCGCCGCTGTGGATACAGATCTCGTTCTCGCAGTATCCGAAACTGAATCTCCAGCAGTTTTTCATTACTTTTTCTTCGTGAGTTGGCGTAGGTTTCCTCGGTGTCCGTACTGACGTATTGTTCGCAGGTGTTTCTTGTTGTTGTTGTTGTTCGCCGCCATTTTGTGGAAAATCAAGCAGCGCTACGACATGTACCGCAGACGCCAGCGGCTGTTCGTGGAGATGGAACAGATGGCGTCTCGGCCGTTTTCTCAGGTGCTGGTCGAGTTAGAAGTTAAGGAGAAGCTAGAGTTTGATAACGGTATATCGATGATCGCCGACTTGAAGCGGAAAAAGCGGGACGCCCCGAGTCCGATAGCGCTGGAGCCGTGCTACGGCAACAAGGCGGCGGTTTTAAGTCTGTTGGTGAGGTTGCCTACGGGCTGTGAGCCGTACACGGTGAAGGGGCAGTCGGCGGGGTTGGCCATCGCCAGCGCTTTAGTCACTCTGGGTAACCCCCGGAAGATGAGCATCGATCAAGTCAAAACTGAAACGAAGACGGGGAAGTCGAGGAAATCGCAGAGTCAGCATCCAGATAGTTGTCTTTAGTTGTTTTCAGATCATTTCAGGTCGGTGCTGGCGGTTGTCTGCGGACGGGGTGCAGCAGGGAGGTCGGGTCAGCCGCTATTCGCGGATCAAATCTGTGGCGCTACTCGCAAGTCGTACTTATCGTTGACCGGCTGCAGGCAGGGCTGGCGTCGTTAGGTCGTAGTTTAGTACCTTCATGTAAAATTGTGATACATAATTTCCATGATAAGTCGGCCAAGTTTGTCCAGTTTATTGAATTTTTTACATAGGAAGCATGAAATGACAATTTAAATAATATTAAACAGAGAAATAGTTAATTGATGTATCCAGAGCTCAGCACGTTTCATGTGAAGAGTCCTGTAATATTCTTCTAAGTATTTTGAAGCAATTTTAGCAATATTACTAACTACATGCTTTTTTAAATAGTGTTTTTCCCCCCCGTCGTATATTTTTTAATCTAGTTTTGTGTGGTGAGCTTTTTTAAGACATTTTATGAGAGACTGAAGATATTTATTGTTTTATATTGATATTTTTTCATGTAGATCTGTTAAATTTTTGCGTATTTTTGTTGTATGTTTTTTAATAAATTTCGCTTGCTATTACGAAGAGGTTAGCTTATAAATTGAGTCTTGCACGTTGCAACGTCAGAAGCGTGGTTGTTTCGTGCAACGTTCAAGTGGTTTCATATTTTTTTAACTTAATTTGTTTTTATGCATTTTTTTTTTCCTTTTTTGGTAATGGGTTAAGGACATTTCTCGTTAAGTTGTACTGAACGGATCGCCTAGTCCTTGCATTAATATTAATGCGGTCCTGATCTCATTACTTTCATTTCTCTGAACAGTTATTGGTGTAGTTTCCACTTTTAAATCAGAGTCGTTCACTGAAGCAGAATGGAAATAACTTTCTCATTTTATGTATTGTTCATACAGGAACATATTTTAGTAATATTTTTCCATTTATTTACTGCCATGTACCTACCTTATTATGTACAATTACTTCTATTGTAAATATATCATTAGTTATAGCACTGGTTTGCATTTTAAACCCGCACAATTCAGAAAACTAGAATTTTTGACTAAATTATATAGTAGGAAGAAATTTTTGGTTGCCTACATTATCTTTCAAAGAAGTTTTCAATTCGTGTAGGATTCCTCCATGGATGAAACCATTGTTTAAGTATATTATAGTTGGACAACCTAATACAAATTTTACTTCGCCTAAATAGTGAGCTTTAGGACAAGGAATCCAGGGGGTGTGGGACAAATTTTTCGTCAACGCGCATTTTCACTGCAGTGAGCCAACGTATTAGGTTTATTTTACTCTACATCAGATGGCGCCATCAAACATTAGCAAAGGCAAACACCCTTCAATCTGCTCTTATACGAGGAGTTATCCATAAATCCATAATTAACATTGTTCCGTAAACAATAATGTGTAAACATATATGTACAAAATATGAAAATATACTTGACATAAAAAATATGAAGCCAACGCGTTGTAACGTGATACGAAAAAATTGTATTTAAATGAATTTGACGTCTATTTTTATTTGACTGTATCTGAAGACAGACAGAAACTTTCCAAGGGTTTTTAAACTGGTATAATTGTTTAGTTTTACAAGATTTAGTAAAATTTAAATTCGTGGTGTTACAAAAATATTAACACAATATAACAGAATGACAAACTTTCGGCGTTAACATTACAAATAATTACAAGACAGAAAAAAACGCATTAAGAACTTAAGAGGCATGTTTGTAATATCGAGTTGTTAAAGGCTGCTTTGAAGTCTGTTTGGTTCTATGAAAAACAATTGCTGTTATGCGACGTTATGATAGATTTTGTTCCAAAAATACGAGATAACTAATTGTTTCTTGAACTAGTTTCCGTAACTTCTAAAATTTAAAAAGAATACGCCGTTCTGCTGTAATAAAATCGAGAATAATATAAGGCCAAAATCACAATAATATTACATCTGATTTTGTTAACCACATGAATATAATTTACATTAAAATAAGTTACAGACATTGTTTGAAATGTTTATTATAGTTCGAAAACAAGATACTCGTACAATAAATAAATATATAAATAAATAAATAAATAAATAAATACATAAATAAATAAATAAATACATAAATAAATAAATAAAATGTTTAGTTTATAAACTTCAGAATTTTAGTATAAAAATAATCATGTTTGAAGCTTTATTTTGTCTGTTCGATTTTATTGGGTGTATTGGACCCCTCTTGGGATATAACACCGACATCAATGCACCGACCCAACGTTCTTCAACCGATGGGATGATTTATTACTTCCGTTATGCTGGCCCTACACACAGCGATCTGGTTTTCGGATTTTCGGCTAGATCTGCACAGTTAACTCTTTGCGCACTGCACACTGATATAGAGTATTTTGTTCACGCCAGCATCAAAAATACTACGCCGAAAGCACTTCTTCAAGTGTTATTTTTTTTAAGATGTAATATTTGTCAGCGTTTCCAAAATTTTCTTCTTTTTACAATTTTTGTTATTGTATTTTTTACTTTTTAATTTTCTAAGGCATGAAAAAATCCCAGCAATTTTTCGTCGCCTGAGAACTTGTTTGATCTACAGACCAAAGCACACTCAGGCCAATATCGGCTTTAAGCGATTTATCTATAAGCCGACATTCGTTAGAGTTGATCTGATGCACATCCACTACGAAGAACTACCTAACCCATTTCGACCATTGGACTTTACAACGAATAAGTGAAAAAAGTTCTTGAACATCTTAACGATTTAATACATAATGTTCCCGAATCACAAAATTTACATTTCAAATTGTATTATCAAATGGTAAAACACTCACCAAAATTTGTCACGAACAATAAAATGACGCAATCTCCAAATTTTACAATAGTATGTCCCCCGTTTACGGTTTATGCATCCGTGTCGAGTTTTCACCTTAGACGTCAAGATTTTTGGAAAAAAAATCAACATTTTCCAATTTATAATGTTATTTAAATTTTAAAAACTAGCATAGTCCTGATCTTGTGATTTATAAATACGCTATTGGGATTTTTCAGCTTGTCGATTTCTCGATTTTTCGACTTTAAATGTCTCAATTTTTCAATATTTCAATTTTGGGCTTTTCCGATTCTTCTATTCTTCAAATTTTCTATTTCTCGATTTTTTTATTTTTCGATTTCTCAATCTTTCGATGTTTCAATGATACAATTTCTCAATTTTTGTCCTCTTCAATTTTACGGTTTTTAAATATTTCGATTTTTCAATTTTTCAAATTTTCAGGTTTCTTTTCAGTTTGCCGGAAAAGTATTTTTTTTTATTTGTCCATTTCTGGACTTCCTAAAGTTTCGATTTTTCACATCTTCACAAAACACATCTTTTTCGATTTTGCTTTTTTAGATTTTCGATTTCTCAATTTTCCAATTTTTTAATTTCTCAATTTTTTGAATATTTCTTTCAGCTATGAGATTTTTCAATATTTCAATTTTTCGACTTTTCAATTTTTGAATTGATGGATTTTTCTTCATTTCTCGATTTTTTACTTTTTGAATTTTCAATTAATTGTAAACTTTAGATTTTTCAATTCTGCGACTGTTTAATGCTTCGATTTCTCAATTTTTCAACTTTTCGAAGTTTTAATATTCCATTTTTACTTCCCGAGTGTAAGCAAAGGAAGTATTGTAATCGAGTCCGTCGGCCGACTCTCTACTTTACGTTTTCTCGATCTTTCATGACCCCTAGAAGACGAACAAATAGGTCTACCATTTCCGTCTGTCTGTCCGTCGGTCCGTCGGTCCGTCTGTCCGTCTGTCCGTCTGTCCGTCTGTCTGCCGTCCCGGATTTTTATTAGACAGATAATCCCCGAAAGTACTGGACCGATTGTTGTGAAATTTTGTAGTTATATTAGGTATATCATGTAGATGGTAAAACGCTAACCAAAATTTGCACTAATGCGATGACGTCACTTCAAAATTGTACATAGAAAATGGGTCAATTTTTCAATTCTGCGACTGTTTAATGCTTCGATTTCTCAATTTTTCAACTTTTCGATGTTTTAATATTCCATTTTTTAAAATTCTAGGTTTTTCGATATCTCGAGTTTTCAATTCTTCTATATTTCAATTTTTCAATTTTTCGATTTTTTGAATTTTAATTTTCGATTTACCTGTTTTTCTTTTTTAAAATTTTTCGATTATTCAATTTTTTAATTTCTCAATTTATCGAATTCAGATGTTTCATTGTTTTGATTGTTCAATTTCTCAATTTTTCAATTTTTAACTTTCCTTTTCGGCTTCCGACTTCTCAATTTCTGGATCCTCCGATTTTTCGATTTCTCGAAGTCTCAGTTTTTGAATTTTTCGATGTTTCGATTTTTGGATTTCTCGGTTTTTAGATTTTTTCTTTTGAGCTTTTCAATTTTTGGATTTTCCAAGTTTTCAGCGTCCCGATTTTTCAATTTTTCAAATTGAATTGGATTTCTCGATTCTTCAATTTTGCGATATTTTAATTATTCAATGTTTTAAATTTTAGATTTTTCGATTTCTCGATTTTTTGACTTTTCAGTTCTTCAGTATTTAAATTTTTCAATTTTTCAAATTTTTGCGTTAAATTTTCAGTTTTCTGATTCCTCAATTAATTTATTTTTGTGGTATTTTCTCCTCTTCAAGGCCCCACGGTGGGGAGCCAGATTGTGGTATCCTCCCTTGTTCGAAGCCCCACGTTAGGGCGACAGTTTGTGGTAGCTCAGCGGTTTATTGATAATAAGCAAACAATACAAAGCAAAATATGGGTATGGGTTATCGAAGTGGTGGCAATTCTCGTCGGGGATGGTGGCGGCTCCTGGGACTCAGAGCGTCGTAGGGGATGACGGCGGCGATGTATGTAGCACAGGGCACCTGGACAGTGCGACCCTGGAGATGACGACGTCGGCGGTGCGGCACAGGAGACCTGGACAGTGCGACCCTGGAGATGACGACGTCGGCGATACGGCACAGGGGACCTAGAGAGTGCGACCCTGGAGATGACGACATCGGCGATGCGTCACAGGGGACCTAGAGAGTGCGACCCTGGAGATGACGACGTCGGCGATACGGCACAGGGGACCTAGAGAGTGCGACCCTGGAGATGACGACGTCGGCGATACGGCACAGGGGACCTAGACAGTGCGACCCTGGAGATGACGACGTCGGCGATACGGCACAGGGGACCTAGACAGTGCGACCCTGGAGATGACGACGTCGGCGATACGGCACAGGGGACCTAGAGAGTGCGACCCTGGAGATGACGACGTCGGCGGTGCGGCACAGGGGACCTAGAGAGTGCGACCCTGGAGATGACGACGTCGGCGATGCGGCACAGGGGACCTGAACAGTGCGACCCTGGAGATGACGTCGTCGGAGCGGCGCAGGGGGACCGTAAAACAGTGCAGCCCTGGTGATGATCTCGAAGCGGCGCAGGGGACCGTAACACAGTGCAGCCCTGGTGATAATATCGAAGCGGCGCAGGGGACCGTAAAACAGTGCAGCCCTGGTGAAGATCTCGAAGCAGCGCAGGGGACCGTAACACAGTGCAGCCCTGGTGATCACCAGAAGGGGACCGAGACAGTGCAACCCTTAAGGTGGAGATGGTGGAGTTCCATCTGCCTGGAAAGCGTCCGAGTTGCCCTTTTATAGGCAGGGTTGAGATGCGTGGGAGTACCTGCACAATGAAGTAACTTCAGGTGGGGTGCGTTCCAGTGGGGGTGAGCTTGGTGGGGTTGATATCGGCGCTGCCGAGGACAGCGCCCTCGAAAGGGTACTAGCGGAGCGCTTTGAAAGCTCCGCTACATTTTTGATTTTCCCACTTCTCAAAGTTTTGATTTTTCAGTTCTTCAATTCTTCGATTTTTCGACTTCGCTTTATTGGTTTTTCGATTTCTCAATTTTTGGATATTTCTTTCAGTTTTGATATTTTTCAATACTTCGATTCTTTGATTTTTCGACTTCTAGATTTTTCTATTTTTTATTTTTGGATTTTCAGTTTTT